ATTTCATTTTTTGAACTAATTTTTATTGTAACAATTAATAGCTTAACAATCAAAGTAGTGGGTCATTAATATAGATGTCTGCCATCAATGAATTTTGAATTTTAAATATATTCCCACCCACTTCAAGTTTAAATTTAAAATTTAAAATTGAAAAATTAGTGGGACATTAATACAGTTGTCTGCCACTAAGGAATTATGAATGTGAAATATTATCTCACCTATTTATTAAATTTTAATTTTTGAATAATAAAAAGTTTCCAAAAGAAGTAACTTTTCAAACTAAGCTTCAGTGTGAACACAAAGCTAAGAATGAAGGAGAGAGCGACACGTCAGCAAACTTTCCAAAGTTTGGTTCTGCTTTCTATATATTAAGATATAGCATAAAAAAGTTTTTTAAATCAGTGGTGAAATGTTTTTTAACAAGAGGATTATTAATTACGAGCTTAAGTAATTAAGCCTGATTCACTTATTATTTGTCATTAGAAGGATGTAGTTGAAAGTCACTAGGTATGGTATAATAGTGAGGGGTTTGAGTAGTTTGTATTAGGTTGTAGGTTCAATTTCCATCCATGTGTCAAAAAAAAAATGATGTAGTTGGTTAAGTGATAATTACTTACAATGTTTCTAGTTATCATCTTGTATGTATCTTATTGCCTGTTTGAATCCTCTTATTTTAAACTCCTCTTAAAAAGCTCTTTTTTATAATAAAGAAAAAAATCAAAAACTAAAAACTCCTAAGAAGAGCTTTTTTTTAAACTCCTATAACTTCTTTTGAATTGTGTATTTTTTTTCAAATGAAGAATCATAGAGAGAGAAACTTTTCTTGAAATATATATTTTTAAGTAATTTTTAAGTTAAAAATATTATGTAATAATCAAATAGCTTTTAACCTTTTTTTTAATTTTAACTTAAAAGTAGCTTCTAGCTTAAAAAAAATAGAGGATCCAAATTGTCTCTTAATAGGTCTTTCATTATTCTTTATGAATAATTGTAGACTGCATAATAGGAAATTATCAACTCTCCTTCAATAAATTTCACTCTACTGATTCTAAGAAAATAAAAAATAAAAGAAAAGAAATAATAGAAATGCTGGTTATACTTTCTGACAATTTTTTTAACACATTCTTAATTATTGAGTATATTTTATGTACGTTTCACAAAATAGAGAGTGAGTTTAGATAATTTGACGAAAATCAAATGAAATTCACATAAAAATAAAGAGGGTACCAATAATTGTTTTGCTGTTATTTTTCAAATTTTAATTTTAAACATCCGAAATAGAGACTCAATGTTTATCCTTGAAATGTTTGTGCAAATAAATCTCCTACTAGGTAGCGTAATTTCATAAGTAACAATTATTTTTAACTTTTCTAGCAATATATATATATATATATATATATATATATATATATATATATATATAGACTTTTTGACCCTTTTGGCCTTCATTAATTAATTAATAATCATTTTGCCCCTTATCCGAAACTATTTATCAATCTGTCCATCTTTAATCGATTAACTTGAAGATTTAATTGATTAAATGGTCAAAACTGGCAAAAATGGTTGACTTGAAGATTTAATCGATTAAATATATCTCTTACTCAATTAAATCTCCCTCTTAATTGATTTAATCGATTAAAACTTATATTTAATCGATTAAATATACCAAATGAGCGTGAAAACATTGATTGATTGCGTTTTGTATTTAATAGGAGCTGATTGCATTTTATTAGGAGTTGTCATTTTACGAGTTGGTTACAAATTGTCACCAATTCAAATTTATTTGTAATTTGTAATTCTGAGCTTATTTACGGGCAACATTTCAATGAAATGAGTAAATACACCAAATGAGCGTGAAAACATGATTGCGTTTTGTATTTAATAGGAGCTGATTACATTTTGTATTTAATAGGAGTTGATTGTGTTTTGTATTTAATAGAAGCTGATTGCATTTTATTAGGAGTTGTCATTTTACGAGTTTGTCACAGATTGTCACCAATTCAAATTTATTTGTAATTTGTAATTTGCGCATAAATAGACTCAGAATTACAAATTACAAATAATTTTGAATTTGTGACCATCTATAACCAACTCGTTAAATGACAACTCCTAATAAAATGCAATCAGCTTCTATTAAATACAAAACACAATCAACTCCTATTAAATACAAAACGCAATCAACTCCTATTAAATACAAATCGCAATAAACTCTTATTAACTTGCTGATTTGCTTCATATGCATGGAATCTGCTTTTGTTTATGGAGGAGATTTGACCTTTATTGTCTGTTGGAAGATTTAATCGATTAACTTGAAGATTTAATCGATTAAATCTTCAAGTTAATCATTTTTGCTAGTTTTGACCATTTAATCGATTAAATCTTTAAGTTAATCGATTAAAGAGGGGCAAATTGTTAGATAGTTTCGAATAAGGGACAAAATAATTATTAATTAATTAATGAAGGGTAAAAAGGTCAAAAAACCTATATATATATATATATATATATATATATATATATATATATGGAGAATGATCCGTTTACAAACTTTTTGTACAATTTTTTACAAATTACACTATATAATCTAGTGTTCTTCCGGGAGAAAATAGTGTAGTTTGTAAGAGTTTATAAATATAATCTGTCCATATATATAAATATATATATATATATGAGGTATGATCATTTGACACCTCATCTGAGAGCCATTAGATCAAAAAAGATCAATGGTATCACATGCTTACAAATCAGAGCTATTGATTTTTTTTTATCTAATGGCTCTTAGATGAGGTGTCAAATTTGAAATTTGACACTGGTGTCAAAAGATCCTACTTATATATATATATATATATATATATATATATATATATATATATATATATATATATATATATATATAGAGAGGCAAGATATTCTTACACCAGTGTAAGAGTTAAAAGTCTTACACTCAATCTTGACCATTGATCCACTTGTATCCAATGGCTCATATTACTAAAAAATTAGAGCCCTTAGATATAAATGGAATCAACGGATAAGATTAAGAGTGTAACTTACACTGGTGTAAAATGATCCTGACCCAATATATATATATATATATATATATATATAAATATATATATATATATATAAATATATATATATATAGGGGTTTACATTTTTGCAGCTGCTGTACGTGCAGCAATCAAATACTTGCCATATATATACGTGTAAGCATTAAATGCAGAAAATCATAACCATACAAAAGATGAAAGCATTAAATGTGGAGAATCATAACCATACACCTGTCATTGTTGTACGTAAAGCGGCTGTAGAAATGATCTTACCATATATATATATATATATATATGTGGGTGTTAGTTTTATTATGTTGCCGATGATAAACCATGATTCCTGCAGACACATAAATATATGGGCCCACCATTTTATTTCAAAAAAATCAAACAAAAAAATGGCACAAGTTTCGATCTATCAGCATAAGAGGAAATATGTTTTCGTACAACAGGAGAGAATGTTTTTCCTATATATATATATATATATATGAAGAGAGATCATTTGACTCTAGAGTAAGACTTATAAGTCTTACTTCCCATCCTAGCCATTGATTTTCGTCCATCCAATGGTTATATATATATATATATATATATATGGAGAGAGATCATTTGACTCCAGAGTAAGACTTATAAGTCTTACTAACCATCCTAGCCATTGATTTTCGTCCATCCAATGGTTATAGTTTAGGAAGTTATATTAATTAATTACACTATAAATGACAACCGTTGATTTCCGTCCCTCAACGACTGAGATGGGGAGTAAAACTTTTAAGTCTTACTCTGGAGTCAAAAGAACCCTCCTTTATATATATATATATATATATATATATATATATATGGCAAAATGATTTCTGCAGCTGCTGTACCTACAGCAAGCAAGGATACACGTCCGAATCCTAGGATACGGCAACGGATCCTGAGTTTTTTTTTTTTTTTTAAAGTCGTGGGGCCCACTTTTCTGTGTCAGCTGTAGATAACACTATCTACGGCTGCTGCAGAAATGTTAAGCCCTATATATATATATATATATATATATATATATATATATATATATATATATATGCTTATTATTTGTCAAGCTGCTTGAGACAATGTTATCTCCGGCTACTAAATCATAACCGTACATAAATGGATCAATGGTGATAAAGGAAGAGAGAAAAAAAGGGAATCATTACCATTCAAAGATGAATCAATTAATATAAGGAAATAAATAAACAAAACGACGTGGTTTTGGGGTGGCCGGAAATAAACTTATCTCAAGCAGCTTGAAAAATGTTTCTCTCTCTCTCTATATATATATATATATATATATGAGAACAATATTTCTTAAGTTACTTGAGATATATTTATCTTTGGTCAGCTTAAAACTACGTTATTTTTGTTTATTTATTTCTTTATATTAATTGATTCACTTTTGAATGTTTATGATTCTCATTATCTCCATACGGTTATAATTTAGTAGCCGGTTATGAGTTTAATGTTTCTCCTGCAAATATTAGATAACTTTATCTCCGCACACACATTGATATAAGTGGAGCCAATGAGGAAAAAAAATGAATTCAATCTTTTTTTATATGTGTACAAGAGATAAAGTTATCTTATGTTTATAGAAAAAATATTAATTTCTAAAGGTATTAGCTAAGTTAAATTTATACATAATTTTTAATGGTTTACTTTTTGATTTTGCTAGCTAAATGGGTCTAAGACAAAAATAATAAGTCAAGCATAAAATATTGAATGAGAATAGATTCTCTCGTGTTAGAATTTTAGATGATCTAATCATATAAAATTTTGTGTGTTTATTTTATTTATTAATGATAATTAAATCTCACCTATTTAATACGAGCATGCATGTTATCAAACCAATAAGACAAAAAGAACTCAATTGAGAAAAATTTAAAAGAAATTAAAAACTCATTTCACACCGTTTTAAAAAATCGTAGTATATCATCTCCATTTGAGAGTTATTGTTTCCTTTATTGACAGAATGGAGAGGGAGAGTCCTCCTGCAAACGATCTGTGTTCAGTGTGTCATAGCGATTTCCACACTCCATGCCAAGCTAACTGTTCTCACTGGTTTTGCGGTATCAATTTTTTTCAGTCACTCTTTCCATTTCCATTCGAATGTGTTTCTTTCATCACTTAATCGTTAAGTTTTGTGTGTTTTTTTTTTTTTTTAATCAAATTTTTCAGGGAATTGTATTATCTTGGTGTGGCAGCATGGATCGACTCAGCAACCTTGTAAGTGTCCACTCTGTCGTCGTATCATTACTTTGTTGGTTCCATCCGAAGAATCTCAAAGGCAACGCCATGACCCTGAAGTGGCTCAGATTCTAGACAAGATTCAAACCTATAATCGATTCTTTGGTCGAACCTCAACGGGTCTCCTTCAGGTTTTTGTTTTTTTGCACCTTTCTTCCCATTAATTAAAAGTTATTACTTGATTATTGAGTATTGAGTATACTTACGAGTTACGACACCGTTTCTTCTTGTTGTTTTTTTTTTGACAGAGGATGCAAGATCTTCCTTTTCTGTTGCCAAGGCTTCTTCGGGAATTCTTGGACCCTCACAGATCCCTTCCTCTTGTCATTAGAGCTCGTGTTTATATTGCAGTTAGTTACAATTCTACTCTTTCTTGTTTTTCTTTAATTACATCATGTTAATTAATTAATCCGTTCTTTGATTTTATATAGGGTCCGTCGCTTCTCATGTGACTGCTAATGAGAAAAGTTGCAGCAAATTTTTAACACTAGGATACACGTGCGGATCCTAGGATACACGTGCGGATTCTATCAAATAAAAAAAAAAAACAGGATTCAGACGCGTATCCTGTGTTGCTGCAAGTTTTTCCTTCTGCAGTCACATAAGAAGTACTTTCCCCTTTTATATATTGGAACTAAATTTTGAACAATGTGAAATGCGATATCTTCAATGTTGTTAGTGACTTGTATTCCTTAATTGCAAATGCCAATTGCGATTATTATTTGCAGCGCGTTTAATAATCCTAACCATTTTTTTGTTTCTGAATGGTCGAGATTTGTGCATGTAATCTCAATAATAAAACTGTTCTTACTTCGATGTATTTATATATATAAATTACTTCAACTTAGTACAATAGGGCGAGCCCGGAGCAGTGGTAAAGTTGCTCCGAATATGCAAAGGTAAGACTGCGTATAAGGATTGCCCTCACTCTTACTCTCGATAGGCGGAGTTTATGAGGAGTGGTTTTACTTCAACTTAGTATAAGATGAGGGGGAACTGTACAAGGGGTTTTTGGTGTGTGCACCACGACGAGTAGATGATATAGTGGAGTTTGGAAGAAATTATGGCATGGAATGACATGAGTGTGAACTGTGAAGTACTAGGGTAGGATATGGGTGGTGCAGAAGTACTAGTGGAGTGGAGAATATAATATTTAAAAGAAAATTATGAAACAGAAGAATTCATGAGGATGATCACTAGTAGTTTTGATTTTCAGAACTATGTAACTTTTTGCTGTTTGTGAATAGGTGTGTCTTTTTCAGGTCAGCGATGTGGATGATAAGAAATTGTTGAATTGGTCATAGGGAGGGAGAAGATGCAACCCAATTATTCATTCATTTGTCATGGATATATTGTTATTCTGTTTCTCAACAATTTGATGGAGGGTTATTGAATTGCAGTCCTTTTCTGTTTCCTTGACCCCATTCTTATGTTTTTCTAGCCCAGATAAAATCATAAAGGATTTGGTTTCATTGACCCTTCTGGTATGTGATTGTGCAATTTTTTTCCATATTGGTACTTGGTATGCCTCATAAGGTTTTGTAACCCCCCCAAATGTGTGTGTTTTATGTGGAGCTTGCTTAGAATCAAGTCCACATTATTGTTCTGCTGCTAATTCATTATTGAATTCCTTGTATGGCTTTTCTGGTGAATGTTCAGTTTGCCCTAGGTCCTTGGACCAATTTTTGATAATTTGCTTTAATGATTCTGGTAGGAGTCTAGGGGCTAAATTTTTAAGCCAATGTGAAATCTTTGTTCAACTTTGATTCATAGGGTTGGTATGTAACTCGTTTCTTTTACACAGATGCTAATTTGGGATAATATTAGGCATGTACCTACCTTCTATTTAGTATAAAGCACATTTTTTAGGGTCCCGGACTGATATGTTTAGGGATTGGGCAGTTTTGCTCCATTGCTGTTTTCTTTTTTCTTTGTCATTTGTTTGAGGATCCTTTAACTGCCAAATTCATTGTAATTTCTTATATTCTTCTTAATGTATTTATTCTTTTATATTAATATAAAAAAGGATCATATTGGTGCATCTTCATGTGAGGGTTCTCACACCGTTTCTTTTTATACAGATGATACTAAGTGCTGTATACATCGTCAGTCCTATTGACATAATTCCTGAAGGTAGTGTATTGGTCATTATAATTTTCCATTTTGTTGGATTTGTGTAGTTGTTACATAAACTAACTATTGTTCATGCAATTTTTTACCCTCGTTATTCATCTTTCCTGCAGGGATACTAGGAATAGTTGGTTTATTGGATGATCTCCTAATTGGGCTCATATGCTTCCTGCATATTGCTGCCCTTTATAGATCAGTACTCTACACCCGTCATGGGGGTTCCTGAACTACATGTTTGCAATTTGAGGTGAAGTGGTGAAATGAGATAATGCCTAAGTTCCTGAGCATTATTCTCTCATCTTGAAAATTGACATACCCTGTTTTGTACAGAGACAACTCCATTTTCAAATATAGGATTTAAATGACTCTGCAAACGGTCAATGGAAAAAAGCTTCCTTTAAATTTCAAATAGGTATTGTGAAATAGGTATATTTCGTTTTAGAAAGCTATCTTATTGAACCTCTGAGAGATGCGTGAGGGAGGGGGGCAATTACTATCTTCAGTATAGGGGTATTCAAAATCCAAAGCAATCCGAAAATTGAATTAAAGCATACCAAATTTATAGTTGTAACTGGTTGGAAAATTGAGCAATATTTGATTTGGTTTAGGATTAGGTACTTATTTGTTGAGCAGAAATTTCCTATGAGCAAAAGGAAAATTTTGTAGCTGCAAAAGCTAAAACAATTATATCATTTGATACACCAAATAAATTGACATGGAGGATGATCATTAAGCCCAACAAATCCCGAAAACACCACGATCTAAGATTATGTACTTTCTTTAGTGTCGCAATCCTATTCCTGCAATAATTTTATAGCTGCAGAAAAATGTGAAATCGATGCTAAGCAAGCTCCACATGTAGCACGCATATAAGAAGAAAGAACCCGTGGTTGCTTTTGAACTTGCACTATTTTTATTGGTATTAATTTTATTAGGTAAAATGATCCAAATAAAAGACTCGGCTTATAGAGAGCTTGAGACTTTCGAAATAGTTAATCATTATGGAAAGTAACTCTATTCAACAAATGAGTTAGGAAATGGCTAAAGAAAATGCACAATACACCAAAAGGGACTCCAATTCAGAATATGTACCCTATCAAATAGTTAAGAAAAAGAAGAATAAGTTATGCATGAATAATTGGATTGCATCCTCTCCTTCCCTATGGCTAATTCAACTATTATTTACCATACATGCTGTTGACCTTCAAAATACACACCTATACATACATAGCAAAACGTTACTTAGTCAGGTCAAAGAATACCATGATTTGAGCATGGAAATCCAGCCTTGTATTCAGTCTTAAGAAAATCTAGAGAAAGTCCATTGCTATAGTGCTTGAGCGGAGCCTAAGAAGACCCGTGAGCATTTTGTTTCGTTATGCCTTTCTTCTCTTCCTCCTTCGTTACCTGTGGACTTGCTAAAATACCTTTTCTCTTTAGTCACACACACCCTTTTCACTTTTTTCTTTAATTTATCTAAGAGAATTTGGGTTCAGTCACGCACACCCTTTCCACTATTTTTTCCTTTAATTTATTTTTCTTCCCTAGTGAGAATTTGGGTAGTTGCTGTCATTCTATTTACATGCCAACATACGCCAACGAGGTTTGGTTCCCCCAATCAACTTTTCAATCATGATAATTGCATCACTTTGGACTTAAATGTTGAGCTTGTTGTTTGCCTTCATTGTAGAATAGAAAGAGCTTCCCCTTCATTCTAAACTTTTTATTCAACAAAAAATTAAATGAATTGTAGTTGTATTTTAATTATTATGCCAAGGTTGACCAACTCCCAAATCTGTCTATTATATTATTTAATAAAATATACTATTATTAAAAATTAGATTCTTTTTAACTGCATAATTATTAGAATACATTCTCTTAAGATTGATTAAATCTATTTGTATATTCTTTTTTAAAGACTAATACATTCCCAACTTTATTTTCTTTTAAATTCTATATTTAAGCTCTTTTAAATTATTTATGCATATTTTTTTATATAATTTTAAATATTTTCATATATTTTAATTTGAGACATTTGGAAAAACCAATTTCATCTCCGCCATTAGGGGTGAACTGAGTTGGGCCAGCCCACAGGGGCCTATAGCCCGGCCCATTAGTGGCCTAGCCTGGCTCGGCCTTTTTACTTAGCAGGTTGGGCTTGGACTGGTGTAAAGGTTTGATTACATAATTGGGTCGGAGACTTAATATATTAAGCCTGACCCATGAGCTTCCAAGGCTGGCCCAATTGTTTTGGATAGTTCTGCTTTGGAATCTCAGTTACTAGAGTTAATAACATACCAAGAATTCATTTTACTCTTTACTCATATCTTGTAAGACGACAGCGTTATTGCTAAGCCTTATCGTTCTAGCTTGGCTGAAGATACCATCCAAGCTTTAATATGTGGAGGAGATTGGCTACGTAATAAGTATGACTTGAAGAAAAAATAAAAGGTATAAATTTAATCAATTTAAATTATTTTATAATTTAATTATATTTAATTAAATTTTAATTGAAATTTGGCTTTATTTTCATGTAGGAAGAACCAATATCTCAGTATGTAAGATTGCCTATGTGAATCTATTAAAAGGTTTTTTTGTTTCTTAATCTTGTTTTTTTTGTTTCTATTCTTTATTCTTGTTTTTTTTCTACATTTACAAATTATTTGCCAACTTGTGTAACCTTGGAATTGTATTTGCAGGGGAGAGAAGATGAAGATAAGTTTTTGGCTACTCTTGTAGTCATCATGATGTGTTTGTTGTATTCATGTAGTTATTTTAATTTACATAGTATGGATTGACTTGTTAGATCTGATGAAATATATGTTATTTAGTTTGAGCATTTTGTTTTAATTGTGATTTTTGTTTTAACAATAGAATTTGAGTATTTTGTGGAGTTGATTCATGATCTGCTTAGAAGTTAAAAATTAACAGGTCAACGGGTTGGGCCGGGCCATTTGTTTATTTTATAAATGGGTCAAGACAGACTAACAGTTAGACTCATATTATGCTATTGGGCTGGGCCAAATTAAATTTTTTTGACATAAGCTTGAGCTTTACGGGGCAAAGCTCGGCTCAGCCCAGCCCACTTTCACCCCTATCCGCCATAACATTTTGAAACAAAATATACATATTTTCTCACATCGATAAGGTTGGCAATTCGTCCTCAATCTTTTATTCTAATAAATTTCCTCAATCTTTTATTCGTTCTCACATATTTTCACTTTTAATCCTAGCAGATCTTTTAAACAAAAAAAAAAAAAAAAACTTAACAAAATTTAATTTCCTGGGCTTGAAACTTCCTTCTTGTTAGTGAATAGATGCTTCTCTCGTTTGTTAAAACAAGTCTACCTATTATAAAATCATGTCATCCAAAAGTCAATAATAATATAATAAAAATAATATTAATATATGATAGAAATTTATTTTCAAGCATAAAGTGATAGGAATGACATGTTACAACATGACTATTCGAATAGTCTCTAAGAAAATATTTTCTTCTAATGCAGACAAATTTGCTACTTCAAAAATTTTCTATTTGAAGACAAATTTTAAGGTGCCGAGAGTATAATACTTTGCCTCTTATCTAAAATAAGACCACATTTCTTGCTTCAACTTCACCTATTATGTATCTTAAATTTTTATTTTTTTGGTTTTCCATAGTATCCTCCGACCGACCGTCGAAAACTAATCCTTTCGAAACAGGAGATCACATTAAGTAGGTAAACCTCCCAACAAAATCTTTTTCATTCACATGGAGATCTACCTTTTTAGCCTTTTTATCTAACCTACCTGATTTCTTGAAGGCACATTATTAAATTCATCTAATCATATTCCTGTAAGTGTTCCAATATTCTAAATATCAATTGATCATGCTCTCATGTACGAACTTCTCTACTCAAATTTGTCAAAGAAAATTGACAATCCCTGCCTATTTGCCTCTACACCTGGGCACATATAGGGGCTCTAGCTTACTTAACACTCGACTTGAGCCATTCTATACGTTACTTATAAGTAACTACCTAGCAAAACAAAAAAATTCAATTAAACTTTACGCTGATTGCCGAAGCTTAACATAATCCTTCTATTTTATCTAAAGCTTAGGACCAACGATGTGAAGTTGACAAAAATGCAAGATATAAGAGTACATGACAACAATATGACAAAACTCATAAGTGAAATTCTAGTATTCATCATTTTTCTAAAAAAATATCTGCATCACTGAGATAAGGCCTATACATTCGAAAATACTATACAAGAAATTACCAAAAAAAAAAAAAACTTTACAACTTACACCATGACGCAAAATCACTGACCAAGAAATCCTACAGGGCACTTGAATTATCTAGATAGATATTCACGAGCAAAAAAAGATGTAGCATGGAGCGCAATTACTCCCAAAACCAAAAAAGGCTGACAACACGCGAGATTAGTTTCATAAATTCCATATGGCTGCCTAGCATCTTTCAAAAATTCTATACAGTTTCTCCAATGAAGCTACCTGCATAAAAATACAAAGGAGAAAAATAAAAATGAAAGAAGTCAATGACGGTACTAGTTAAATTCCTTCTCCGGGAATAAATTGCATGTTTCCCCTCCCCACTTCATTATGATTATAAATCAGTAATTCTTAGCTATTGGCTCATGCCACGAACAAGAAATCCAAGAGAAAGATAAAAATAATACATAGGCTAGGCTACATTTATAAACATGTACAGCAACTTCAAAGGAACATAATGAGGCTACATTATTTCGTGTTCCATATAACAGACCTTAAACACAACAAAACTCGTTGGCTCGACTTTGAAGTATTATTTACCATTCTAAAAACCATAACTAAGATTGTGTTAAATGAATATGTTGAGAGCATATCTGAGTAGAGGAGACTGGGATGAGTTCAAGAACACTAACAGGAGGCCGAGTAGCAGCTGAACGTAGTCAGAAGAGTAAAGATGTGGACTCAAAGTGCTTGACGTGCACATGAGGGTGATTGGAGGGGTTATGGGGCTGGGTCTCCGGTGGTCGGCAGGTAGGCAAACAACAATTGTGCTGGTTGGGATACAGTTGGAAAGGAGGCCGCGAATAGTGGAGGCAGCAACAGAGAGAGTTGTCGGGAAGAGTTCGAGCACAACGAAGGCACAAAATGAAAGGTCAAACTGGCTGCAATGAAGGCGGTAGCTGCAATCAAGGAACATTGGGGTTTTTATGCAGTCTCCCAAATAGGGAGTTCCGATACCAAGTTGAATGGAAAATTATTGAATATTATTTCTTGATTATTCATGTACAAAGTGTGACAATATATAGATATCCATGAGTATTTACTTTTCTAATAAAGAGATGATTCTAGGAAAACAAAAAAGAAAAAAATCTACCCTATAATCTCTTGTAAATATGTCCTATAACCTGTCCTAGCAAATCTGTCTTATAAAAGGGAAAAAGGAAAAAAAATACAATAATTCCAAATTTATTTCTTTTATATTTACAACAAATTTGATAAATGTTTCAATGTGTAGCTCTCCCAAATGAAACAAAAGAGAGAATGAACTCATGGTGTGTATGTGTCCCTGTCTACGTTAGTGAGTTGTACGTATGTATTATGTATGTAAAATTGTTTTTGCCATGTTAATGGAACAATTAAAAGTCTATAATTTTTACATGAAGAAAGAAATAATTACACAAATAGATAAATCATCAGAGACATGAAAAACTTTGATCATTGTAACTGCATCATATCAATTGATGGGAACAATAGTAGAGATGTTTTCCATGTTAATCTAAGTAGACAAGAATGATAAACCAGGAAGATTTGACAGGTTATTTAAGGAAAAATGTTTAGATCATGATGGGCCACGACAAGTGGGCCCAAGTCCAACAATTCCTAGTGGTTATAAGCAGGGGAAGGAGGGGCATGGAAAAATTGCAGTAAACATGGGGAGGTATTTGGGGAACTCTTCAAGCAGGTGGTAGCTTGTAGAGGGAGCTGATGAGTATGGGTTGTTGTACTTGTTATCTTTTAGTGTTTTCTTCTGCAACTGTTAGTCTTATATTTCCATTATAGTCGTTTGTAATTGTGAGCGGTGTCTGTGTTAGAAGGTGGAGTCAGTGTCTTGAGTCGTCTGGTAAGGGCTGGTCCCTCGATTTTCAGTAATCAGTACAATTGTGTTTTTCTGGTTCCATCAGATCACCAGTGATGCTTACATTTAGCCTTACCTTATCCCCTCCCCTCACCAATTCTCATGACCTTTGCAACAAGAGAAAGAGAAGAAGAAAGAGGGAGGGAGGGAGGGGGGAATAAGTAAACGCGTCTTAATGCATACTCAAGTGGCAGGCCAACATATATAATCAAGAATATGATGCAGCTGTAAGGAATCTGTCATACATAATGTGTGTGTGTGTGGGAAGAAGGAAGAGGGGGGTTCTATGTCATAAATGAAATGTGAGCTCCCAAGATTACCAATATATATTAGTAATAATCAGGAAAATATATATATATATTACCTGAACAAAGGTTCCATTACTAGCCATAGAAACTGGTGGTTTGAAAAAAAGTCTCATGGAAGGAAAAAGTACATGTTGTATTGACCATTCACGCTGGGCCCATGTAGTCTCAGCTTCGGAAAGCAGTTCGTGTTCAACTTTATTGTCAATCACATCACTCCCTGAACACAGAACTCACTCACATTGGAGCTTAATAACAACCAAAAAAACTTAAATGGAAGAATAAAATTCAAAGTCAATTCTACCGTATTGCACCTCCCTAATGACATTTTTTCTTAGTAACAGTTTACATATATTTTCCAAATTAAGAACCAACAAGTTTACATGGCTAAAACCACCTGACATGATACAGGAAGTTTGAATCAAGTTGAATTTTCAGCTTTTAAAGTTCAACAGACTTAGTAAATGAGTACTCAAATAACATGCAGTATTCAAAGCAAAAATATATGCAATATGCTGAATACATAGTTGAACTGAAAGTAGGAAGTAAGGCCTGTTCTAATCCAAAATGCTCAGTGTAAAGTATCCTCGTATGTGCTCCTTAAACTTTCAAATCTACACAAAATTACACATTGTACATAGAGGAGTGAATAATGATATACTTTACTGTACAAAAAGAATCAAAATTGAACAGAGTCTAGCTCAACAGTCGAGGGGTTTCTGCAAGGACAGGGGTTGGAGCACATGGGAAAATACTTGTGGGGAAGGGCACCCTCGGAACTGTGAGCAAGGATTGGTTCGGCTGAGGTGGGTTGGGTCATCAAGTCACACTACACATATGATCACCCCAGCTCCAACTCGTAAGACCCAGATGTATTTTCCTTTCTTTTGAATATTTCCTTCCTTTACAAATAATAGCCCCTAAAAATGTTTAATCATTGAAGCCTATGCCAATAGCAAAACCACAAACTAGTCCTTTGCATCTACTACTTGACTTGGATTGACATTGCGTCCATCATCAACAACCAAGGTTCCCAATTGAATTATACGCCTAAGTCATTAAACTGCCAATTTTCCCACTGTGATTTTGATATATGATAAAAGTTGAAAAAGAGATAATCTTTTTGATAAAATTGTATATTACATCTGTACAATTGCTCTCTATTTAAAGAGACTAAATAACTTAATGGGCTAAGCCCAAAAAAGATTCTAAAATGGAAAAATAAATAAATAAATAAACAAATACAATTATTTACAATACTCCCCCTCAAGCTGAGGAATAGATATTTACCATTCCCAACTTGCAAGTAAGCTCTTGAAACCTTACTGAGGGAAGTCCATTTGTCAGAATATCAGCTAATTGACGTTCAGAAGAGATGTATGGAGTGGTGATCAACCCGCTATCAAGCTTCTCTTTGATAAAATGGCGGTCGACCTCAATGTGCTTAGTCCGATCATATTGAACTGGATTATGAACTATACAAATGGCGGACTTATTATCACAAAACAGCTTCATAGGTCCTTCACATCTTATTTTAAGATCACTAAGTATAATTCTCAACCACAATAATTCACAAATGCCTTGAGCCATAGCTCGAAATTCAGCCTTAGCACTCGATTTGGCAACCACGTCCTGCTTCTTACTCCTCCATGTCACTAGGTTACCACAAAGAAACATACAATAACCATTGGTAGATCGACGATCAGTTAGGGATCCAGCATCGGAATAAACTTCTAAAAAGAGATTGTCATTACGCCGGAATAATAGTCCTTTACCAAGAGTGGCTTTAAGATACTGAAGAATTCTCTCCACTGCCTGCATGTGTTTTTCTTTCGGATTATGCATGAATTGACTTACAATACTGATAGCATAAGCAAGATCTGGTCTAGTATGAGCCAAATACATCAGTCTCCCAACTAACCGTTGATATTATCCTTTATCAACTGGAGGACTCCACTCTTCATAACCCATCTTGTGATTCTGCTCAATAGGCGTACTAGAGGGTTTACACTTGGGGTGCTAAACGACCCAGGGGCCTTTGGCTCGGCTCGTGAAGGCTTGAGCTTACATGTCTAAAATTGGTTGTTGGCATCAGGCTTAAACTTGTATAAAAGCTCGTTTAATAAAAAGGTCTCATACTCCAATTCAAAATCTCGGCCTTAGAGCCTCTCAGGCTGGCCTAGTATATTATTTTTTATTTTTTATTTTATATTTTTTATACTACTTGTAATAGCCTCTCTTTCTCTTCAATCCATTTCACCCCATTTTATTGGTTAAACAGACTTTTTGAATGATTTTGTTCTATATTATGTTGTTTTGATATACATTAAATTTATGAATATTTAAGGAATTACTAGTGTTGTTGATTATATATTCTGTTTAAATAAATTTTTGTTGTCTTATTTTTTTTAAACAGGCTAAATCAGGCTTTTATTTTTTGTAAATAAGTCAGGCAACAGACCGGTAATTATATTTATAACAAGTAACAGGCTTGGTTAGCCTGACACATTTAAACACAATCTTAGCTTTTTAAGACCAAAGCTCGACTCGGTGCGTTAACACCCCTAGTTTAAACAAAATTTTCCTGCTTCTTTAAGAAGATCAAAGACATATTTTCTCTGGCGGATAAAAATTTCTTCCTTTGAATGATTTATCTCTATTCCTAGGAAATATTTCAATCTCCCAAGATCTTTAATTTCAAACTCAAAGGCTAGCCGTGCTTGTAGAAAATGTTTCTCCGTAATATCATCACCTGTTATAATAATATCATCAACATATACAAGGAGCACAGTTAGCTTCCCATCTTGGGAGTGCTTGAAGAATAATGTGTGATTTCCTTGACTGTGTTTATATCCTAAGGCCAACATAACCTTAGTAAATCTCTCAAACCAGGCACGAGGAGATTGTTTCAATCCATACAAGGCCTTTTTTAACCTGCAAACTTTATTTCCTCCATCCATAAAGCCAAAGCCAGGTGGGATTTCCATGTAAACTTCTTCTTCTAACTCAACATCAAGGAAAACATTCTTCACATCAAATTGATTCATATCCCAGTTGTAATGGGCAGCAAGGGACAACAAAGCTCTCACAGTATTCATCTTTGCAACTGGGGCAAAAGTTTCTTCATAATCAATGCCATAGGTCTGAGTGTAACCCTTAGCAATTAACCGAGCCTTATATCTCTCAAGAGTACCATCAGAATTATGTTTCAAGGCATAAACCCATCTGCACCCTACTGCTTTCTTTCCATCAGGTCTATCAACAACCTCCCAAGTTTTATTTTTCTCCAAGGCATTCATCTCATCTTGCATGGCTCGCGCCCAATTCTCATCTTTTAATGCTTCATGTACTAATTTTGGGATTGAGATAGAATCTAGTGTTGAAATAAAGCTTTTGTGCTGCACAGAAAGGTTACTAAAATGAGAGATAGGGTGTTGGGTACAAGATCTTTTCCCTTTTCTTAAGGCAATAGGTAAGTCATCGGAGGTACTGGGTAAGCTATTAGAAGCAACAGGAAAATCATTAAAGGCAACAATATTAGGTTCAGAAACAGGAGAAGTAATAATTTTAGGATCAGAAACAAGAGATTCAGGACTTACTCGTGGTTCATACGATTGAGGTTGCTGGTGAAGCAGTGTGGGCTGCTTTCTCTTGTGATATACCAACTCAGGTGTCACAATCCTCCGTATTTTCGATGTATCATATGGGTCAGACACAGAAGAAACAGAAACAAGAAGAAGAGGTGTAGGAGAAGACATAGAAGGTTCAGACTCAAATATAGAAGGTGATGAATCTACTGAACTGCTCTCCCCATGAAGATGAGGACTTGGGAAAAAAGACTCAAATTCATGAAATGTGACATCCATTGCGACAAAGAATTTCCGACTAGCAAGATGATAACACTTATAGCCTTTTTTATCTAGGGCATAACCAAGGAAGATACATTTGAGAGCCCTGGGATCCAACTTACTGCGAAAATGTTTACGAACATGGACAAAAACAACACACCCAAACACTCGTGGCTGAAGACTCTGCATAGAGGGAATAGAGGGAAAGAATGAAGTCATTGAATGAATAGGACTTATATCGTCAAGGACCCGAAATGGCAAGTGGTTGATTAAGAAAGCTGCAGTAAGAATGGCATCTCCCCAGTAGCACTTAGGTACATGATTCTGAAAAAGAATGAATAGTGGAGCTCATACCAGCCATAGCCAAAGTACTAATACTAGATGGCTTACTCAGAGAATCAAGCATAGTCTGAATCCGCTCCAACTCATCTCGGCGAATAAATTCTGAAGATGTAACATTTGAACCCGCCATAATGTTGAGGTGAAAATCACACAAACGCAAATCCAAATGATGTCTGACCGAAGACAAAAAAAACAAAGATCTGGAAAGATGAGACACTTTTTTTTTTGGCATGGACAGTACCCCGTGAACAGTACCAATGAACAGCGCACACGGTGAACAGTGCCGATGAACAGTAAATGCGAACAGTGCCCGAAAAGGTCCGTGAATTGATAGATCTGGAAAAACGGAGTCAAGCAGTAGTCCTCTTGGTCCAAAAGGTCCCCGAAAAATTTTCGGTAGCAGCTAGTGGCGACGAGAGGCAAACATACGATTCCGCTCTAAAGGCGACAGTTGCGGAAGCAGAGCCCTCATGATCGAGTGCTTTGATACCAATTTGAAAAAGAGATAATCTTATTGATAAAATTGTATATTACATCTGTACAATTGCTCTCTATTTAAAGAGACTAAATAACCTAATGGGCTAAGCCCAAAGAAGATTCTAGAATGAAAAAATAAATAAATAAATAATTAAACAAATACAATTATTTACAACAATAAACAAGTAAAAACAACGGATGAAATAACTAGGCTAAGTCTTGTTAATTCTCTAAGTGCTAATATATATATGATCTCTCATCAAATATCACATGAAGACAGGACAGTTGTACTGGAAAATGTAAAATGCATTCCGTTGCAAATAGAGTAATTTAGTGAGGGATGAAATCCCACATCATCTATATCACTTTGTGATTCCTTTTCATTTCGATATCACTTTTGTGATATGGTATCTATAGCCTAATGACAGGAACCCTAATCAATGCCTATTCGGTGGACCAATTGTCCACTAAGTAAAAAATATTTTCCCAAAACCGTCATGCTCGTTAGTTTCCGGCCTCGGTCCTTTCCGATAGTCGTCCAAAAGCCTTTGACCACCGTTGGCCTAGATTATGGAGACATGTTCTCCCCAATGGCGAAAATGGCTTTTGTATACCTTTTTCTTGCTATGGCTGCTATCCTTCACTAGCTTCTTTATCAGCTAAATGTCAAGGATGTTTTCCTCCATGGATATCTTGCAAAAGAAGTTTATATGGAGCAATATCCTAGGTTTGTTGCTCAAGAAGAGTCTGACCTAATTTGTTGTCTCTATAAGTCCATGTATGGTCTCAAGCAATCTCCACAAGCTTGGTTTGGAAGATTTAACATTGTTTTACAACTGTTTGGCATGACTTGGAGTGAGGCTGATCACTCAGTATTATATCGCGACTCTGTTTTAGGATCTATATATTTGGTAGTGTATGTTGATGATATTGTCATTAAGGGTAATGATCATCATAGCATTATTCAGGTAAAACATCTATGCTATCATTTTCAAACAGAGTACCTTGGAAGACTCCGGTATTTCTTGGAGATAGAGGTGGCCCAATCCAAAATTGATATTGTGATATCCCAAAGAAAATATGCTATGGACATTCTTGATAAGACAACTATGTTGAATGCTAAGCTCTCTGAGTGTGTGCTACACCTGATTAGCTCTCTGAGTCTGTTAGTGTGTTACAGGCTGTCATGAGCTGTTACACATCTATAAATAGTTTGTTACTGTTGTATATTAGTTTTACGCAATGAATAAACACTTTAATGGCTTCTCTCTTTTCTCTCTCTCTCTCCCCTATCTTCTCTCATCTTCGAATCCTTTTCTCTTACTCCATGACAAAAGAATAAAATAGAAAGCAGCCAAAAATAAAATAAAAAAATCAATGGAGCAAAGCTGGTCAGCCCCTCAACATAGCAAGTTTGGGTATCCATAGTAAGTACTTAAAGAAGGCTCCAATGAAAGTGGGGTGTGCGTGGTATAAAGATCATGGACATAGATTGAGGCCTTTATTTATGGCCTGCATACAGATTGGAATCCCACTAGTGTGCGCTGAAGGAAACCTAGTTCTATGCAAAAGCAAGAGGCAGATGTAATATGTACTTATGAGATCTAGAATGGAAGCAAAGTATCGCGAAACAACACAAAATACTTGCAAGGTCATATGAATTCGACAATCACTATGTGAATCACTTCCCAAACCTTAACTACAATAATTTCAAAATTTCAGTCTCCCAACAAAACCCGACATTTTTATTTTTCTTTTCATTAGAAGTACACATATTTCAATCATAGGTACTGATATATATGCACATGCGTGGGTCTGGGTGTGGGTGACCTAGAGAGAAACAAGCATGAAGTCCATACCAGTACTATCACAAGTATTCTTCTCAGCACAACCATCGGACATTTTTCTCTTCTTGTAAAAAGCCAAGCCCTCACCAGATGGATTGGGCAACATTGGCGGATGCATAGCATAGAAATTTCCCAGAGCAGCTGAAACTGCTTGAATACAATTCCTTTCATCTTCCCAATCAACCTATCATAAAAATGCATATCACAATCTCTCAACATGTTGAAGGAAAATAAGATGTTATCAGAAGGATTCATGAATATCAAAAAGCATGCACTTGAATATTCAGTTGGTAACGAATTCAATGGAATAACAATTAGATAAACAAGATGGTGCTTTCTCACAAAAGGTGTAATCAAAATACAAAAAAATGCAGAGATATTATGACTGTATAAATTACTTTAGTGCATGAACTGAATTTCGGTAGCACAGAAATAGCTGACAATATTACCAATGAGCCAGACTTAGAGAAAAAGAAATCACAGAAACTAACATCATTGCCTAAACAAAGCGCAAACTCAGGGATGCGATCCATGTCAGGAGTGTACTGGTCAAGTATCACAGGAAGTCTAGAGACATTTCCATGTTTGTCAATGTGGATACCGAAAAACTCCTCCAGCATTTCAGCCTTTTGTTTCAGCAGTTCAGTGTTCATCTGCAGAATAGCGGAAAAAAAAAACCCATAAATATGAAAAAGGCAGATTCAAAAGCAACAATCAAATGATAATATGCATGTACAAGAAGTTAAATTTCCCACATTAACCTAAGCAATCAAATTGCATTAATTATTCCACTAATCAAATTCAAAATCTAATAGAGCCAGTGGAATCTTACGAAGACAAAAACAAAAGACATTCTGTGGAGTCAGTAATGTTGTCAAAAGCAGTCCATGTGACAGTATGAGCTTTGAAGCATCATATTTGAGGCTGTTGCATCAGACAGCCTGAGGTGCCTCAGGTTGCATGAAGCGGGGTGTTGCAATACTTTTCCAGGTTGGTGCTGTGAAGCAGTTGATATTCAAACAGCTAACCAGATGCCCAGTTATGCAGTGTTCACTGGATGTCCATTGTTCTTAAGTTACCTATTTTTTTATTCTATAGGACCTCTAATTCTCAAAAGGAAAAAGTGAATCTCTTTACGCTAATGATGTGTAGCGTCTTTATTCAGTGATATCTAACATGATGAACCTGCAACAACTTGATTTGGATGTGGCTATCTATCTCAGCAAGGCGCAATCTGTCAAGCAAGAATTTTCTGGGCTCCAAGGCCAAGCCATCCACTGTTTAAGGTTGGTTTGGCAGCTTGTTACCACAATCTGTGCAGTGTGTTTCCTTGATATAATTGGAGGTTTGCTTTTCATAAAGTGCTTGTGGGTTTTAGAATCTGATGTCTAACCACTGCAGGTGCTGTTCAGGTTTCTGGTCTGAAGGTACACATGGCAGTTTCTAAGGATCTTGGTTGCCTTGTTATTTGTTGTTGGGTTGGATCACTGAGTTGTCCTCGGGGAAAGTTTTCGAGCATGAATTTGGATGCTTTACTGTGAGCTGTTACTTAATGAGGTGACAAGGAGTGGATATAGTTCTCAGGAGTTAAAGAGATTTTGATTTATTGCTTTGGTTAGGTTTGGCTTTGTTTCTGATTTGCAGTCAAGGGAATTGTTGTCTGAAGATTTTGATTTGCACAATTTCATTTGTGAATTACGTGGTCTAAGAGCTTGTGTCATGCATGGGGAGCAACAGGGAGGAAATTGATGGGGCAACTAGGAAGAAAGGTCAAAAAATTAAGGAACTTTGCTCGTGTATTTGGTTCATGTGCCAAGAAATAGGAGAAGGTCGAGAGGCCATTAAGGAGAAAGTTTGAAAACTTATAGGAGCTCTCTACCTAGGACGTAGGCAGAGGTTGTGTTATCCAGGGAGAGTGCTAGTTGTCTAATGGAACCCAATTTGATTTACTGTAAATTGAAGGAAATAGTAATGGATACAAGCTCCTTACAAAGATAAAATGCAAGAACTAATACACCAAAAGACCTCAACTCCCCCTTAGAACCAACTCCCCTAAGCTCCAAGAGATCCCCAAATTCCTCACTCAACCAATACTGAATTCATGCCTCCCACACTACACATACACTCTCCTTTTATAATAACTCTTGGAATATTCAAGAAATTTTCCTAACAAACTAACTAACCTCTCATCCCTTTCAGCCCATAGTCCCATCATTACCTATCTTTCTTGAGTAAGCTTCAGCTTAAGGGGCAGTTTTAAGAGTATATAAAACTGCTAAGGAAAGTCTTGTGAATTAAGGAAGTCCTGACATCAAGGGTGATTAATAGGGATTGATGCTAGGTGATTGATTGGAAAATATGCCTGTAATATTCCTCTGGCATCTAGCATAAATCAAGGTGGAAGCTGGGATCAGTGTACACAATACATTGTGCTTCATCCAACAGCCCTTCTAAATTGTCTCTAATTCTCCACTCCATCTTTCTCCCTCTTTTACTCATCCAAACGCTGTTGTATCTCTAATTTTAAAACAAAATGAAACACAAACAAGCTTCTCATGTTCTTTACAATCAAACTTATGATATAAATAACTTAAAAAATAGTTTCTCTTAAACTATACTGTAAACAAAAGCTACAATATGCTCATACTATAAGATTATAAGATGAGATATATAGAATTCATAAAACTAGCAGTAATTTAAAGCCAAGGGAAGATTACTTCTGCAATCTTATCTTTTAAGTCATCGTCATCATTACATTCTGAATCTAAATCGTCTTCCTTCAGGGCCAATATAATCAAGTCTTTCAAGGGGACTGGATCACTTAGTTGAATGGCATTGAAATGGGCAAAACGGCTCAAAACTTGCTGATACATAAGCTCTTTGCTGCAAATGAATTAAAGATAAATGTCAATGACCAATCCCCTAAAAGCTTCAACTATGAGATAAAGGGTAAAAATAATTTTATATCTCTTAACATGTTCCATTATACAAGAGTGCTTTGCACTTGAAGCCTGAACAATGTACATGCCCGTTTTACCTTGTACCAACATTTAACTAGGTTATGAAAAATGGGAGCAACAAAGAATGGGTTCCTGACAAGTTGTTCATAAAGGACTCTTATACTATGTTAAAAGCCAACTCTCCTAATAGCTTAAACTGTTGATAGAGACCCAAGAACAATTTTATAGCCTGATTTGGATGAGTTTTTAAAAAAGTTTATTACAAGTTTTTTTAACAGTTTATTCACAACCCTAAAAGAAAATGTCAAGTTTATGAGGCACCCTAAATGTCAAGCTTATGCGTTGGAGTCTGTTAGGGAAGAGGGGTTCCGTGAGTCGAGAATGCTCTGAAGCAGATATATCATTATCCCTTTCTTGAATTCAAGCAGAGATGGGAGCACTATGCTTTCAATCTTTAAACTCAATTATAGCACTTTTTTGTGTAAAAGTTTTTTTTTTTAACTTCTTAAGAATAAAATAATTAAGAAAAGACATAAGAAAAATAAAGGGCTGTGATCATGCCATGGAGATGAAAGTAAGAAGGTTCAGGTTTGGCCACGTCACTTCTACTTCAATGACTTAACAGAGGATGAATAAAATGGTCTATTGGTGTAATTGTTATAGTGTAAGGACTAACAGAGACGATTTTAAAGTTCATGGTAGCAGTTTGCAAATGATCCAAAGTTTAGAGGGTAAGCATGCAATTTTCCCTTTTTTTAAAATAAAAGAAATTCATTATGATGGGAAGATGATTCAAGAATGTAAATTCATATCATCTATATAAGATATATAAGTAAAAATTTAAACTGTTAAATCTCTAGTACTAACTCCAATCATAAGCATCACAAGCGGGAAAAGAGATTATGCTTTTCGAGGACTTTAAAATTCATCCTTGAACTGAAACCTCTAAAATGGATTGAGAAAAATTGTTTATAGGCGGTTTTTTACAAATTTCACTCACCATCCATTCCTTCCCTCAAACCATGTTAATTAGCTGCCTATAAAACACAAATGGTATAATTTAAATGCAAAATCAGTAAATCCAATCACATATCCACTATTAATATTCATATGCTTCAAACATTATGACTTATTATAAAACTTTTCAGTTAAAGATTCCATTAACATAAACATAATGTCTACCTCAAGTTTACAACATTTGCAAGATAGAGATGAGTTTTATGCTGAAGCAAAGCGAAAACATCATCCGCCATTCCAACATATGTGCAGTGCTGTACAATGTCCATCATGCCTACATGAAGATGTTAGTAAGAAACATTTTCCACATCAACCTACATCACAGAATGGAGTTATCAATATGAGCAATCTAGGATCATACCGGTGTGACAGTTGCTATTGATCTCATCAAGAAGCTCTTGAACGCTAGTGAGTTCAGTGGAATCTTTTGGGTTCCTTCTTTGTCTAACTGAAGACCTAGCAAAGGAAAAAGTAATTAAAAATAAATATATTCAATCGTTATAGAGGTGTCCAAAACTAAAATTTCAAGCAGCCAAATATACTTGAAAAGGGAGAAAATTTCTAAATTGCTTGAGCAAACCTTGCACGATTGAAGATATAAACATAATTTGCATTCTTTAATTTCAAGAAATTAGGAATCAACATCAACAACATATTTATCAACAGTCGATGAACCCAAATAAAAAGTAAAAAAAGATTGAGAGAAAAAAATAAAAATAAAATAGTTGATAATAATAAAAAACCAATTCTCGCTAAACCTTGAATAGTGAGGGTAGAGGTGAGTACTGTTATCAAAACCGGATTGGACCGGTCAGTCCGACAGGTTCAACCGGGAACCAGACCATGGACCGGTCTGATTAGTCAACGGATCGGTTGTGCAAACCACCCGATGGATTGGGTATAAACCGTGGTCCAACTGGTAGTGAACAAATACGGGTTTTTCAAATGAACCGGTTTTTGAAAATTTGCCTAAAAATTTTTAAGTCTTGTATTCTCCGAGGATTGAACCATGACCTATTACTGCTTGTCAACAACACTTACCACTAGGTTACAAGGATTTCGCTGATGAAAGACACCTATTACTATATTTATTACATAGTTCTATATTTATTACATAGTTCAATATAAAATTGGGGGTCAGTGTGTTGCTTGTAAACAGCCTTACCTTTGCATATTTGCAAAGAAATTGTTTCCTAGATTCCAACCAATGACTTTTTGTTCACAAAGAAGAAACTTTACCGCTACTCTAAACTCGTCTTCTTAGTAAAAAAATAATAACATACAAATAAAATAAAAATAAATGAGAGATAAAAATGAATATGAGCAAAGAAGACAATAAGTAAATTAGAGAGTAATATAAATAAATAAATAAATATAGATAAAGAACTAAAAAGGATATTCTGGAATATAGGAAAAAAAGGTCTACTTCTCCACAGTGCTAATAGTTTTCCTCCACTCTGTCCTAAGACACACCATCCACCAATCTATTTTGTTGAACCATAGGGCACAAGCCTAAGACATTAAAGTTTTGATGATAACAAAGCATCAACTAGCTCAACATGGATGCACAACATGGAAAGTAGTGCAACAAGTCCCAAATGAAGTTAGAAGACTAAGGCAACTTGCAAAAGTGAAGGGACCACTCAAATTGGCAAAGTCAACTATAAAGTCAAAATTTCCAACCTATACAAGGCACTACAAGACTCAAGAGTTGAAGATCAATGAAGAAAACTGAAGACTCAAGCTAACACTGTTGTAAATTGTATTTTAGAGTCTTAGGAACTTAGAGAATGAGTTTATTGAGCTATATCTCTTGATATTGCATTTAGATGCATATGAGAGACACACATACTTGATCCTTGCATACAAGACTCACACACATGGAACACTGTAAGATTGATGCTAGAAGCATACATTCATGTGTGAGAAGTGAGTAGAAATCATTTAGAAAACATTTGGATCGAAATTGGATTGCATAGGGATGTTATGCTGGAAATATTCAGATATGGATATTTGAATATCCGAATATGGGCCCGGCAAATATCCGGATATAAGCCTGACGAATATCCGGATATTGATCTGGAAGCACGTGATCATTAAAATTTCGGGGTCCAATGACTATAAACGGTCATGTAACTCATAATACTCCTATATAAACATGTAATGAGGAATCATAATCACGAATTAACAGAGAAAAACACCAGATCACTAAAAATACAAGGATTAACCCTCATTTAGGCTCTTTTTGTACATCTTAAGAGAAAAGCTCAATATTCCTCATCTTATTTTATTATTTTTTTGAAATCTTTTGTAATTGTGAACATAGAGAGGCTGTTTGAATGTTGTTTGTTGCTGTGATTGAGTTTAAGACTATTGGAGTGATCCTAAGGGGCTTAGGTTGAGTGTAATCATGGTTGGCCATAGAACTTGTAAAATTCCAATTGTAAATTGGATTCTCAAGCACCAGTTGGAAGCTCTGAGTATAGTGGATCAACGACCTCAGTCTGGATGTAGCTCTCGTGTGATTTGAGAGTGAACCAGGATAAATTATGGTGTTTTCTTCTCTTTTCCCTATTCTCTTTTATTACCGTTGCTATATCTCTATATTTAACATTATCTACATTGTTCTTAATATGTTTTAGGGATTAGAATTGATTGATTTCTGTTTCTACACGTTTTTGGTTGATTTCTTGAAAAAAGGGTTTGGTTTTCTTGGTTTCCTGCAAAAAAAAGTTAAACATAATTCAACCCCCCCCCCCCTTGTGTTATTGTTTTAGTCATTCTTTCTTTACATATTTCTCACCCCATAAAGTCTTGTTTTGCAACTTTACCCCAAGTTAGTTTTAGCCTACCACTTTCTCTCTGTGTCATGCTCTTCATAACAAATTTCTGTTCTTAGGAAACAAATAGGGGTCTTTAAATAATATGCTCAAATTATCTCAATCTATGTTCTCTAATCTTTTCAACCATAGATACTACTCCTATTTTCATCGAATATATTAATTTCATATCTCATCCATTCTTGTATAACCACACATCCACCTTAACATCCTCATTTCCACTACTCACATTCTATGCTCATGTTGTATGTGTTGGCCAACATTCAGCCTCCATACAACATTGTGACCTTACTATTATTCTATATAATTTTCCTTCTAGCCTTAGTTGGATTTTGTGATCACACAACAATCCCTATGCTTTGCACGATTTCATCCAATCTGCTTTAATTCTTTGGTTTACATCCGCATCAATCTCTCTACTTATGCTATATTAATCTCAGATGTTTAAAAGCATCTTTTTTGGATACCTCCCGTCCTAGCATATGCACGAAATCTTGATCTCCATTTCTTGTCATAGCAAACTCACAGTTCATATACTTAGTCTTATTTTGGCTTAACACAAATCTTTTAGACTCCAACATGCTTCTCCACAATTCTAAATTTTTGTTAACATTAGCATTGGTCTCATCAATAAGAACAATATCATTTGCAAATAGCATACACCATGGCACCTCATTTTGGTTATCTTTGTTAGTTCATCCATAACTTTGGCACCTTAAGAAAACTTGGGTGTAAACCATCTAGTACTCCTATTGAGCAGAATCACAAGATTGGTTATGAAGAGGAGAGTCTTCCAGTTGATAAAGGACAATATCAGCAGTTAGTTGGGAGACTGATATATTTGGCTCATACTAGACTAGACCTAGCTTATGCTGTTAGTATTACGAGTCAGCTCATGCATAATCCAAAAGAAAACACATGTAGGCAGTAGAGAGAATCTTCAATACCTTAAAGCCAATCCTAGTAAAGGATTATTATTCCAGCATTATGGAAATCTCTCTTTAGAAGTTTATACTGATGCCGATTATGCTAGATCCGTGACTGACCGTCGATCTACCACTGGTTATTATATGTTCCTTTGTGGTAACTTAGTGACATGGAGGAATAAGAAACAGGATGTGGTTGTCAGGTCAAGTGCAAAGGTTGAATTTTGAGCTACGGCTCAAGGCAATTGTGAATTATTGTGGTTGAAGATTATACTTGATGATCTTAAAATAAGATATGAAGGACCTATGAAGCTATTTTGTGATAATAAGTCAGCCATGTGTATAGCTTATAATCCAGTTCAACATAATCGGACTAAGCATATTGAGGTCGACAGTCATTTCATCAAAGAGAAACTGGATAACGGGTTGATAGTCACTCCATACATTCCTTCTGGATGTCAATTAGCTGATATTCTGACAAAGGGACTTCTCTCGGATAGATTTCAAGAGCTTACTAGCAAGCTAGGAATAATAAATAACTATTCCTCAACTTGAGGGGGAGTTTGTAAATAATGGTATTGTAATTATTTATTTTTATTTATTTTTCCTTCTAGAATCTTCTTTGGGCTTAGCCCATTAGGTCATTTAGTCTTTATAAATACAGAGCTCTTGTTCATTTGTAATATACAATTTTCATATAATACAATCCTACTTTTCAAGTTCTTTCTTTTCAAGTAAATGAATAAGGCAGTAAGGAATTTTCAAACCATAGACAAAAATCTCTTTGAACATGGTATCAAGAGCTTAGATTGTCCAACCATAGAAAACCTTAAAATTATAATCAGTCCATTCATACCAAGCACCCTCAAACATCATCTAGCGCATGCCCAATTCATGCTAGAAATTACCACCGACAAAAATCAAATTAAAAAATGAGTATTAGCTTGTTAGATACAAAGTTGTACAAGATGCAAATGGGAACCACCTTACTGCACTCAAAATAGCACTCCTTTCAAGATGTCCATCAGGCGTTTGCATGTAGGCATGTAATCTTCCTGCAGGATCTAATGAATCTGTTCTAACCAACTTACGAACCGGCACTTTCTGTGATCTTGGGCGATCTAACGAATCTGTTCTAACCAACTTATGTACTGGCACTTTCTGTGATCTGTAGTCTATCACCAATAAAAGCTATTAGCAGATAAATAGAAAAACATAAAGAGTATAAGCCAAAAACAAACAAAAGGCATGCAGCAAAAAAGACAAGAAAATTTCACATACCCGTTGGCATAAGACTGAGGTCAGCCTCCTTGCTTGTATTATTACGAGACAATGAAGACTGCCCAGTTGTCTGCCACAAGCATGTAATGTAGGTGATAAGTGACTGTAATTGAATAAAACAAGAAGAAAAGCAGAATCTGCATTCATCATTTACAAGAATCTTTTAATAATTAAAAATGAAGAGATATTTTAGAAATTTATAAACTTGATGCAGGATATATCTCTTGAGATTTGAGTATGAAAACATATAAGGGTTTAGGAGCAAATCATTTCAAGGAAATTTTTCGGAAAGTATGGCTTCATTTAAATAAAAAGAATCAACCTGATTATTTGTGAAACAAAACAATGCTAGACAGAGAGGTACTATACTTTTGATCATATGCAGGATTTATGTAAATCACTATTTTGAAGCCTCAAACAAATAAAAAAACAACTTCAAAATCGAACTCTAGAGACCCAAGAAGCACAAAAACCATTCTTGGAATGCAAAAAACTGACTTTGGCTGGGCAAGCTCATCAGCTCAGTTTGGACAGTTGAAGACCTCCCACAAACCTGGTGCCTGCATGAGATGGTCATTACATATCAACAAGGATGGGCACATGGATGGGAATGCTATAATGCTCTTCAAGAATCCCACCTTTTCAGCCCTCTCTAATGATAAAGGTCGGGGGTGAATCCGGAATGACTAAGTCAGACTGTCATATGAAGTAATTGTAAAGAACCAATTCACCCAAAAGCTTAAGCTGTTAGGTGAGGGCCTCTTTAATAGTTTATATTATACTCTGACGCCCCCTCACACGAGAGCCCACTGGGCTTGAAGGATGGATAATGCACAGGCCCACCTACCTGTGCTAAGAAAATTCCGCAAGAGAAAGTGAGGAGCGGTGAGTATCGAACTCGGGACACAAGGCTCTGATACCATGTAAAGAACCAATTCAACCCAAAAGCTTAAGCTTTTAGGTGAGGGCCTCTTCAATGGTTTATATTATACTCTAACAGTAATTATCAGATATGGAACAGTAAGATTCCAGAAATGCTAGAAGATTGTGAGACAAGATAGGAGTAGGTCAAACAATTCTGATTCTGACAATGATCTTGGAACTTGGATTATCGGAATCTCAAGGATTGGGAAATCATGAAAATTTATGCACAACCAGAATGCAGAAGGATTGAAACTGAAAATGACAAGGGAATTAGATCTCTGATAATGTGTGAGGCACTCCAATGCTATACCAAGTGGAATCATGAGTAAAGCGCAGAAGAGGGATTTGGATTGAAACAACCTTGCCATCATGGCAAGGAAGGTGGGAAGGAAAGGGAAATGGTTAGAAGCAAAGATAAAAGGAAGGTGAAGGTAGGGGAAAGAGGCATCTAGTCATTGAGTGAGCTTTGGAGCCTTTGGACTGGGAGATTTACATACCCTCAAACCGAACTCAAAATTCTGCAGTTCTATCTTTTTTTTCTGGTTTAATGAGTGCTTTTGATCTTAGAAATTTGGGTTTATTCCTATTTCTTTACAATAAACATTAAAACACCAAGTTCCTATCAAGTGATATTAGAGCTCTTGATACCTGGTGACAAAACCAACCATTGTGCCAAGGTTCTTTCACTAGAAGAAGCAAAAATCTATATACTAAAAATTAGCAAATAACCAGTTACTAAAAAACATATCAAAATTGGGCTTTATGCCATAAACATACTTGTTCTTGAAATGTTCGTGCCTCATTGGAACCCCTCAGTGTTGATTCAACCACCGACTGTATCTTCTCGATGATAACTTCTTGATTTAAAAGGCTCACCTATATGCAAACAAATGCACTGTTTTCAATAACAACGAAGAAAGAATAAGTAAATGTAGTGTTTAAAATTTGAAAAATGATGGAACTAAGTGCTAGCTACATAGTAGGGTATCACAGCAACAGTTACTTGGGGGACAGCTTTTGTCCACTCATTTTTAAATAAGATTGTTTCCTAGCCTGTTTATTGACTACTGCTAATTGTCCTTTTAGAAGGCGTATTTGTCCAACATGCAAGCGTTATATCCTTGCCAGTTGCCACCCTCATTCTTTTAAATAAAAATTTGAATTTAGCACAATGTAAAATAGGTCTAGGCATCATCTCCACTTCAAGCCCAAAAAACTCTTGCATGAGGATGTGTTAGATAAGACCATTCTTGAGCCTTCACTTAATAGTTTAAACTTTTGAGAGAGTTGATTCATGACACAATATCATGGCTTCTATGACCACGTAGTCATGAGTTTGATCCTTGTCGCCCCATTCTTCTACATAAAAGTTGTATTTCAACACAAGATAAGTGAGCCTATGCATTGTCCACACTTGAAGCCAAATGAGTCTTGTATAAGGATGCGTGTTAGATAATAAAACCATTCATCCTCCTCCACCTAACAGGTTCAAATTTTGGGATAGTTAATTAATGACACATCAAAATTTGATTTCCTTTGCAGACATCATTAATAAATCATGTTGTAAATAATTGTATTTCTTTATTTCTTTATTTATTTATTTCCATTTTAGAATATTCTTTGGGCTTAGCTCATTAGGTTATTTAGTCTCTTTAAAAAGAGAGCAATTGTACAGATGTAATATACAATTTTATCAATAAGAATATCTCCTTTTTCAACTTGGTATCAGAGCTCTCGATCATGAGGGCTCTGCTTCCGCAACTACCACCTTTAGAGCGGAATCCTATTTGTTAGCCTCTCGCCGCCAGCGGAAAATTTTTCCAAGGACCTTTTGGACCAAGAAGACCATTGTTTGACTCTGTTTTTCCATATCTATCAATCTACAGATGTTTCCAGCAATGGATTTTTGATCTCGTCATAAAAATCGGATCTTTTTGGCCACTCGCGTCTCCTTTAATCAGATCTGATTATTTTGTTGTTGTTTGGGACGTTCAGAGATCTCTACTTGTCATAAAAATTGGATATTTTTGGCCACTCGTGCCTCCTTTGATCAGTACTGTTCACGCGCATTGTTCACATGGTACTCATCGGATACTGTTCACGCCAAAAAAAAAACAGTTCCAGGACAGAACTGCTCGGTTTTGTCTCCTCTTTCCAGATCTGTGTTTTCTCTTTGGTCAGACATCATTTGGATTTGCGTTTGTGTGATTTTCACCTTAACATTATGGCGGATTCAAATGGTGCATCTTCGGAATTTATTTCTATTCGCCGAGATGAGTTGGAGCGGATTCGGACTATGCTTGATTCTCTGAGTAAGCCATCTAATACTAGTGCTTTGGATATGACTAGTATGAGCTCCATTACTCATTCTTTTTTTACTTTTTGTACTGATTTTAAACATTCTTGGATTATCGATTCTGGTGCTACTGATCATATGGCTTGTTATGCTGACTCCTTTCTTTCTTATAACCCTACTATTAGCACCCACAAAATAGTCGTAGCTGATGGTTCACACACATCAGTTGCGAGTTCCGGTAACATATATTTACAGCTTCGTTACATCTCCAAAATGTTCTTTATGTTCCCAAACTCTCCACTAATCTTCTTTCTATCCATAAAATTACCAAAAATTTTAATTGCACTGTAACTTTCTTCCCTACTCACTGTGTTTTTCAGGATCTCGCCACAGGGAAGACGATTGGGGGTGCTAAGAAGCAAGGTGGGGTGTACTATCTGGTGCTAGAAACTTCTGCAAAGTATGCTAAGGATCACACCTTATTGACTCAATCTCAGTATTGCCGACTCTTTGATTTGGCTCCATCATAAACGCTTGAGGCATCCTCCATTTCGTTTTCTTAAGTCTTTATTTCCATCATTACTTTTGTCTAAGTCTGCTGAGTGTTTTCATTGTGATGTTTGTGAGTTTGCTAAACACCATCGTGTCTCTTTTCCTTCTAGCACCATTAAAAGTGTTGAGCCTTTTGATCTTGTTCATTCTGATGTTTGGGGTCCTTTTAAAGTTCCTCATGCTTCTGATAATAAATGGTTTGTTTCTTTCATTGATGATTGCACTCATGTAACCTGGTTTATTTAATGCATGAAAAATCGGAGGTACCACAGTTATTCTTTCGATTTTATAAAATGATTGAGACCCAATTTGGTAAAAGAATTAAAAGACTAAGGTCCGACAATGGTACTGAATATGTCAATCAGCGTCTTTCCAAATTCATCCAAGATCAGGCCATGATTCATGAACTTACTTGCGTGGACACCCCTTAACGAAATGGAGTTGCTGAGAGGAAAAATCGTCATCTTCTTGAAGTTGCTCGTGCCTTACTTTTTTAGAATCATGTACCCAAGTGCTACTGGGGAGATGTCATTCTTAATGCAGCTTTCTTAATCAACCGCTTGCCCTCTCGGGTCCTTGACAATGTAAGTCCTATTCACTCAATGATTTCATTATTTCCCTCTGTTCCCTCTATGCAGAGTCTTCAGCCACGAGTGTTTGGGTGTGTTGTCTTTGTCCACGTTCATAAACATCTTCGCAGTAAGTTTGATCCTAGGGCTCTCAAATGTATCTTCCTTGGTTATGCCCCTGATAAGAAAGGCTACAAGTGTTATCATCCTACTAGTCGGAAATTCTCTGTCTCAATGGATGTCACATTTCATGAATCTGAGTCCTTTTTCCCAAATCCTCATCTTCAGGGGGAGAGCAGTTCTTCAGTAGATTCATCACCTTCTATCTTTGAGTCTGGATCTTTCATGTCTTCTCCTACACCTCTTCCTCCTGTTTCTGATTCTTCTGTGTCTGACCCATCTGATACACAGGAAATACGGAGGATTGCGACACCTGAGTTAGTATATCACAGGAGAAAGCAGCGCACACTGCTTCACCAGCAATCTCAATCGTCTGAACCACTGGTAAGTCCTGAATCTCTTGTTTCTGATCCTAATATTATTACTACTCCTGTTTTTTAACCTAATATTGTTGCCTCTAATGATTTGTCTGTTGCTTCTGATAGCTTACCTAGTACCTCTGATGACTTACCTATTGCCCTAAGAAAAAGGAAAAGATCTTGTACCGAACACCCTATCTCTCATTTTGTCTCTTCTACTAACCTTTCTGTGCAGCACAAAGCTTTATTTCAGAACCAGATTCTATCTCAATCCCAAAATCATTACATGAAGCATTAAGAGATAAGAATTGGGTTCGAGCCATGCAAGATGAGATGAATGCCTTGAAGAAAAATAAAATATGGGAGGTTGTTGATAGACATGATGGAAAGAAAACAGTAGGGTGCAGATGGGTTTATGCCTTAAAATATAATTCTGATGGTACTCTTGAGAGATATAAGGCTCGGTTAGTTGCCAAGGGTTACACTCAGACCTATGGCATTGATTATGAAGAAACTTTTGCCCCAGTTGCAAAGATGAATACTGTGAGAGCTTTGTTGTCCCTTGTTGCGCATTACAACTGGGATATGAATCAATTTGATGTGAAGAATGCTTTCCTTAATGGTGATTTAGAAGAAGTCTACATGGAAATCCCACCTGGCTTTGGCTCTATGGATGGAGGAAATAAAGTTTGCAAGTTAAAAAAGGCCTTGTATGGATTGAGACAGTCTCCTCGTGCCTGGTTTGGGAGATTTACTAAGGTTATGTTGGCCTTAGGATATAAACAGAGTCAAGGAGATCACACACTATTCTTCAAGCACTACCAAGATGGGAAGCTAATTATGCTCCTTGTATATATTAATGATATTATTATAACAGGTGATGATATTGCAAAGAAACATTTTCTACAAGCACGGCTAGCCTCTGAGTTTGAAATTAAAGATCTTGGGAGATTGAAATATTTCCTAGGAATAGAGGTAGCTCATTCGAAGGAAGAAATTTTAATCAGCCAGAGGAAATATGCCCTTGATCTTCTTAAAGAAGCGGGAAAACTTGGGTGTAAACCCTCTAGTACTCCTATTGAGCAGAATCACAAGATGGGTTATAAAGAGGAGAGTCCTGCAGTTGATAAAGGGCAATATCAGCGATTAGTTGGGAGACTAATATATTTGGCTCATGCTAGACCAGATCTTGCTTATGCTGTCAGTGTTGTAAGTCAATTCATGCATAATCCAAAAGAAAGACACATACAGGCAGTGGAGAGAATTCTTCAGTATCTTAAAGCCACTCCTGGTAAAAGACTGTTGTTCCGGCGTAATAGCAATCTCTCTTTAGAAGTTTATACCGATGCTGATTATGCTAGATCCGTAACTGATCGTCGATCTACCACTAGTTATTGTATATTTTTTTTGTGGTAACCTAGTCACATGGAGGAGTAAGAAGCAGGACGTGTTGCCAACTCGAGTGTTGAGGCTGGATTTCAGGCTATGGCTCAAGTTTGTGAATTATTGTGGTTGAGAATTATACTTGGTGATCTTAAAATAAGATGTGAATGACCTATGAAGCTGTTTTGTGATAATAAGTCTGTCATTTGTATAGCTCATAATCCAGTTCAACATGATCGGACTAAGCACATTGAGGTCGACCGCCATTTTATCAAAGAGAAGCTTGATAGCGGGTTGATCACCACTCCATACATCCCTTCTGGACGTCAATTAGCTGATATTCTGACAAAGAGACTTCCCTCAGAAAGGTTTCAAGAGCTTACTAGCAAGTTGGGAATGATAAATATCTATTCCTCAGCTTGAAGGGGAGTGTTGTAAATACTTGTATTTGTTTATTTCTTTATTTATTTATTTCCATTTTAGAATCTTCTTTGGGCTTAGCCCATTAGGTTATTTAGTCTCTTTAAATAAAGAGCAATTGTACAGATGTAATATACAATTTTATCAATAAGATTATCTCCTTTTTCAACTAATCACCCATCAAAAACTTAATTAATTCTATCTTTAATTTTGTCTAGAACCATCCAACCTGAAATCCTAATTTCACAAGCACTGTTCACGGCACTCAAAAAGCCAAAAATATGACCGGAACCAAAAACACTTCAACCCATAGATTATCTATTCATGACACATTGGATAGGATATTCTCAAAAGAGAAGACACTACATGCCTGCTTCCCATTTCTACCTTTAGCCAAAACTTAATTACCAGAAACAAGGCAGCCAATCTCAAAGAACCTGTCACAAATCATCTCTCCCAAAAACATAAACCACTTGGGAAATGCATATGAATAGTTTCACCGTATCTCTGACATGCCCACGCATGCAAGAACCCTTGTTGGGAAGGGTGGATAATGCATAGACCCATTTTACCTTATGCTGAAATTTAAATTTTTTTTGTTAAAAAAATGGGAGCGGTAAGGATTGAACTCTAAACTACTTGGTCATAGAAGCTTTGATACCATTTCACGAACAATCTCTCCCAAAAGTTTAAGCTATTGCAGAAAAACACATGAGTTGTTTTATTATATCTCTATATAGGCTCTAACAGAACCACCCATCAAAAGACTTGAGCTTTTGGCGAAAGATTTTGCAACATATTATCCAGAAAAATGGTAAGAAAAAGTTAGGGAGTGTTTGGTTTGATTTCTTTTTTCATTGATAATGACAAAAGTGCCACATTGTTTTCATTATGCTTCCTGTTTTAAAAGTTTTGTAGAGCAAAAGGTGAAAACAATATTTTATTTTTTTTCACCATTTTTGAAAAACAAGGAGAATGAAAACAATGTGGCATTTTCATAAATATTAATTAAAAAATTGAAAATGAAAGCAGAAAACAAACCAAACACTACCTAAAGTTTTATTTGCAGATTGAAACATAGCAAAAACAAGAAGTCCAAAAAAAGTTATTATTATGCAAAAGACTATGAAATATGAGTAATTATGTTGAGGACAGACTAAACCAACAATTCATCCAAAACTGCAACAACAACAAAAGTAAAAAGAAATTATTAACCAACTTGACAGAAACAGTACACAACATTCTCTGTAAAATAAGCATGAAGTTTAGAAGGTTTATCAGACCAACACCATAAAAAATCAAAGGTCTTTGCCAGTTACATGTAACTTTATTTTAACAAGTCAGTGACTTCAGCATTATTTATGACAAAAATTAGGTTTGTACCTCTCTTTTTGTTGGATGCACATTGACGTCAATATTCTCAGGTGGTAAAACAATTGAAATATATATAAAGGGTTTAGATGCTTTGGGCAATGTTGCTGCATAAACAATTTCAATAGCTCTCTTCAATGCAGACCACTCAACCAATCTATCTGAGGAGCATAAATGAGAAGATTTTCATGAGAATCTGTAAACAATTAGCTCATGTCATGTATATAAACATTGTTCAATGACAAAATTGAAGAGTATAGAGATATAGGATAATATAGAAAACCAATATGCTCCACCAATTATGTTGTGTAAGGATATAGAATACACACTGAGGTGAGAGAAAGAGACAGAGACAGAGACAGGGGAATTTTTCATATTTTATGCATAGAAGCATTCAGGATAAGAATTAAGTGATGATGACTAATAAAATAAATTATTAATGACAGGCTTCATCTAATAAAATAAACACCTTAAAATTTTGAAAAGCACCACACTTAATGCTTATATAGCTAATGTATACCATTGATGAAAAGCACCATAGTGATTTTCTTGGCAGCATAATTCGCATTGGACATGTAGCCATGCATCTCAAAAAGTGAAGTAGATGGATCACTGTCTGAAGCTTCAATTTTAATCAGATTATGAGCAACTGAGACCCCGTAAACGGTTCTGATGGCATCAAGCCTTGAAGAAGTGGCAACTGTGTGAACATCTGCTCTAACAGCTCCATGCTGATTGCAACAGAAGTCCCAAAAATTGAATGAAAATTAATATATGTAATTTGCAATGCAGCTTATAAGATTGTAGTAAATAAGTTTAACTGCTCAAGAGACCAACCTTTCTGCAAGAGAAACTGACATTAGTGTGATGAATAGCAAACCGGCTTACTAAGTCTACTATCTTTGAATAATCATCAGAAGAATTTTGTAGTGTTTTTCTCCTTGCAGCCATGTTATAGAATAGATTCTCAACCTAATAACACAAGCACAAGAATTTCAACCCATAACAAACTTAATTCCAATTCCTCATTTAGAGGATAAGGACAGCTCAGTTCAGAAAATCTCCAACAAGTCCTAGCATTTCTGTCAAATAATCAGAAGGCAACATCCTAATCAGCTTCAGTATGGGAAATTTATTGTAATAGTGAAGACAGATGTCCAACACTGAGATTAATATAGATGGAAATGTTCAAATGTACATCTTGTAGTAATGTAGTAAGTGAATTACAATATTACAGAATGAAAATTACAGAAAGACAAGGACATCCCAATTGAAGACGAAAAGAATAATCTGAGCCATTATGTCACGTCAGATAATTTGGTAACCTGCCACACTAAAATGGCAGTACCCAAGGCACTAACTTTCATATGTAAGAACAATGTATCAGGTTACAAGGGTATGTTGAAAGTTTAAGACCTAGGAAGCAAAAGAAGGGTTCCATCTAAAGAAACAGGCCTTTCAAATTCTGCAGTTCAGGAAGTTTCAAACAGTCATAATTCGAATATAGCTTAGATATTCTAAAAGTTAGAGAGTTCATTCGGAGGATCTCAATGAAGCTTTTAATTAGTTAGCTAAACGAAACATGTGCATAGTTGGCTGTAAAATTTTGGGACCAGAGTTTAGTCCATTAATATCAAATATTTACATGAAATACATCCAAGTGTTCAAACAAAATTCTACCCATAAGAAGCAACATTAGTTCAACCAAAATACTTGATGATACCATTATCTGTGTTCCTTTCACAGCAGCACATGGCCTCGGTTCATGCTCCATGACACCATCTCTATAAGATACCCTAATCCATAAAATTCAGAAATTTTTAAACTAATTAATTAATTAACTCATAGGAATTCAGAAATGGAAAACAACAAAAATGTGAAAATGTGTTGATATTTGTTTCTCTTAATAAAAATCCAAAAACGAAAAGCCTCGACTCAGTAGAGACCTGTAACCGTGCAATTGGCCTTCAGTAATGGTAGTAACAGTGACATGACCGACATACGTCATGCTTGCGAGAGCCTCTCCCCTAAAACCCATAGACTTCATGCACTGCAAGTCCTCAAACGCAGATAACTTGGATGTCGTGTGACGCTCGCACAGTATCGGTAGGTCCTCGAACTACACAGTACACACACAAGCAAACGACAATCATTCGCCAAAACGCAAACGCAAACGCGCAATGGATGAAATTAGAGATAAAATGAGTGAGATGAGAATAATAACGAACTCGGATTCCGTGGCCGTCGTCGGAGACTTGGATGAGTTTGAGGCCGCCGTCCTTGATATGGAGGTTGATGGAGGTGGAGGCAGCGTCCAGGCTGTTCTCAACCAGCTCCTTCACGGCGGAGACAGGGCGTTGGATAACCTCGCCGGCGGCGATTCGGTTCACCACCGACTCGCTCAGCCGCAGGATTTTCGGTGGCTCCATTCAATGTGGCGGCAAATTCAGAAGGAGGGAACTCGAGAAAAAATAATTTTTGCTTCTTTCAATTGCTATTCACTTATCTGTTTTGAGGCATCCTTACTTACTCCTATTTTGGTACAAGGTATTTTGCGTCGCAGAAATATTGAATTTTTTTAAATTTTTAATTTTTAAATATTATCGTAAACTAAATATTTTTATTATATTTGTAAAATTTGAAATTTTTGAATAAAAAAAATTTTCCTCTACCAAATATTCCTTTGAAGTAGAGTAAAATGAAAAGTATTATTTCCTATAAATTTAAATATCTTTTGACACTTGGAATCTGGATTAGAATGTTTTAGAAGTTAAACTTGTCTCAAAAAAATAATTAAGATTGAGTTAACTTTAGAAAAAAAAATTAAAAAATGGGAGGGAAAAAGTTCATAAACCTTTTATTCATATTCCTATATTCTATATTTTTTTTTTTATCAATTACTCACTACAATTTTTTTCATCCAAATCTCCTTTAAACATTAAACATCGTTGATAATTGAGTTAACTTATCTATTTTACCCTTTGCTATCTCTCTTTCACCTGAAATACATCAAAGTTGATTCTCAGTAATTATTTTGGCTTGAGGCATATGACTAGGAGTAGAATAGGCACTTTAGTTATCATCACCTTGTTGTAGCAGAGTAGTAGGGGAATTGGGAACGGGTGGGTGAGGAGAGGAATCAATGTTTTGATCCTTGTCTGAATGTCGGTGTTGCAAAGTGGCATCAACAACCTCCATATCAAAATTACCATGGGAGTTACCCCCAGTGTATCACCGTCCTCCATCTCTAAGTTTATGCTCGCAACCACGTAAACGTTGTATTAATTATATAATTAGCATCATTTCATGATTCATTCAAGATTTATGACAACAGAATGACGAAATTAGTGTATCTATTCCCAATAACTATTTACGTAATATATATAAGGATAGAATATTGTGTCTACATTTTTTTCATTTATACTGTACCTATTCATCTCTAACATTATAATATTAAGCAACTTTCACCCTTTCTCTTATCTCCTAAGATTCCAATCCAACAATGGTATAAAGGAATAGGTAGAATAGGCTTGAAAAAAAAACTAAGTGTTATGGATATGAATATCATATCCCAACTACCTACTAGAATATCTGGTGAGATATGGAATCAGCAACATCTCAACAACTCCAAACAGCCAAAGGATATAAGATAAAGATCACATCCCAACAGAAGGAGGGTTGAATCCTACTACGATTGGGGGATCTCAAAAGGCACAAGCCTAGGAAGGTAATCCTATAAATAAGAGCCTAAGGACCCCAGGTAAAGACTCAGAACTCATTTATTACTTCTGCCCACACTGTGCACACACCCACCCCTTGGCTATAAGCCTATTGCTTGGGCGCAGTGATTGGGACCTCGGCTGTAAGCCTAGTATACACTTGATATACACTATCTCTGAGCGCATACCTTACGGTATAGCAATACGGTCTATCCAGGACCGAACATTGGCGCCGTCTGTGGGGACCGTAAATTTCGACTCCCACCCCACGATGACGAACACACGTTCGACGTCGGGAACATCCCAGATGCCTCCGCGTCAACCACAGTCTCAGCCTTATGGCATGCCTCAACACCAACCCGCGTCGGAACAGCCCCAATTGGAACCAGACCCGGTGCTGGTTGAGGTACAGGTCGGCGAGGTCGGCACACAAGGACCGACTCCCAGACCCCAGCTGAACGCAACAGTTGCGGCAGTTCGTCAGCCTCCACACAGTGAGCCGCCAAACGTGACAAACATGGCCATGGGAGCAATCCTTCAAAGGTTGCAAGAGATGGAAAACAGATTTCTGACCCAGCAGCGCATGGATGCCCAAAGGATGGCGACGGTGGAGGCTAAACTGAGGACTTTGAACGCGGAAGGCCAGACTAGGGGAACTGGAGGGGTCGCAAACAACCGACCTCCCCAACAACATGCGGAAGGCGTACTTCAGAACGCCGCAGGCACCCAGCATCAGAACGCTGAAGACCTCCGTCATCAAAATGTTGGAGAACGACCTAGAAGGCCCGACAATGCTGGCGATGGAGGACCGCGCCAACTGAACGCGGCCCCACTCGAAGGGCACGCCCAGAATGAGCAGAACCTTAACCTCGGTAACAACCGAAATGGTGGTGGGCCGAACGAACACCAGGACGAAAATTATTTGGAGGATGAAGAGGCTAATGATAGCCCATTCACGGTGAGGCTCATGAACTTGGCCATTCCGCCGAGATTCAAAGGCACCAGGATACCTCCATACGACGGAAGTCAGGACCCAGAAGCCCATTTAGAGGCTTTTAAAACCGAGATGCTATTCAACGGGATCACTGGACCTATTAAGGCCAGGATCTTTGCGACAACGCTGACTGGCCAAGCGATGACTTGGATAACCAGGCTCCCTAGGAACTCAATCGACTCGTTTGAGGACCTAGCTCGGACCTTCCGACTTAACTTTGCAACAAGCAGGGTGCATCTGATGCCAGCCTATGCTTTAGGAAGAATCCGGCAGAAGGAGAACGAATCGCTGAGGAAGTACCTCGACCGATTCAAGGATGCCGCCCTCAAGGTACGCGGGTTAACTGAAGCAGTGCACCTCCACTTAATCATCTCGGGATTGGATGGCGATTCCCCATTGGCGAGATCCATCTATAAGAACCCAGTGAACGATCTGGAGGGGTTCAGGAGAAGGTCGGACAAATACATTGACGTGGAGGACATGCAAAAGGTTTATGTCGAATCACGAGGACGAATCCCTACTCGTCGGAGCCCGAGTAGGAAAAACAACAAAGATCGGGATCAGAAGGGATCCAAAAAAGCAAAGGACACTCGTGATAAGAGGTCGGAAGACCGGTCACCAAGGAGGAGATATGATGACTATACACCCTTAAGCATGGCTAGATCTAAGATATGGAAAGAGGTAGCACATACCGAAATGCGCAACGTCGAGAGACCTCGACCTTTCAGAGCCAAGTTCGGGTTAGATAAAAGCAAATACTGCGCATTCCATGACCAAAACGGTCACTACACAGATGATTGTTGGGACCTCCGGGATGCAATTGAGAAACACGTCAGGGAGGGAAAGTTAAAGCAGTATATCATCCGAACTCAGGGCAAGAAAAATAATAAGCGCAAGCACAATAGCCGAAGCCGAAGTCGAAGCCCAAAGAGAGAGGATCGAAAGGACCAAAGAAAGGACCGACCTTCCAAAGGCAAAGAGGTCGATGAAAAGGACGATGTTTTTCCTGAAGCCGAGTTCGAATGCAACGTGATAAGTGGAGCCCTAGGAGGAGGAGGAGACTCGGCCAACGCCCGGAGAAGATACCTAAAAGAGGTCATGTCGGTAAGGGACATGCCAACTTTCAAAGAAAAGGACGGCAAGTCGGCTCCCCCAAGACTGTTCTTCACTCAGGAGGAACTAGCGAGGGTTGTACCCGGACACACTGACAGATTGGTGATCACCGGAGTACTAGTCAACTGCCGAGTCAAAAGAATTTTTATTGACCACAGAAGTTCAGCTGACATCATTCTCTAGGACGCTTTCCAGAGGATGAACTTGGACGAGAAGGACTTGAAGCCATGTATCACTGAGCTGGTCGGGTTTAATGGAGCGGCGTCCCCTCCAAAAGGCTACATCGACCTAAAACTGACCTTGGGCACGAAGGATTCGTTCCGTTCTGGTAGGGTTCGTTTCGTTGTAGTGGACACCTCGTCTTCCTACAACGTGATTATAGGTCGGCCCACAATTCACGAATGGGATATGCTGATCTCCACCAAACACCAAGCATTGAAAATGCCTGGGATGAACAACGAGGTCGTCACCATAAGAGGCGATCAAGAATAGTCAAGAAAGTGCTACTACGAGACTCTACGAGTCCATCATGGAAATCCATCATCTCCAACTCGGCTTAAAGAAGGAGGAACCAAAGGCCAATCCCTGAAGACCTGCGGAAGAGAGGTCAACTTGGTTGAGCTCGATGTAAGGGAGGAGCTCTTGGCACCTCGTCCTGAACCCCAAGGAGAATTGGAGGATGCCGACATTTCAGAAGACGGCGAAGGACGCACCAAGGTCGGAAAAGACCTAAGCACGGAATTCAAAGAGGAGCTGGTTTCTCTGTTAAAAGAAAACCGAGACGTTTTTGCGTGGAAAGCTTCAGAAATACCTGGAATTGATCCAACCTTCTGCTGCCACAAGCTCTCCATGTACCCCGGTTCACGGCCAGTATCCCAAAAGAAGAGGAAGATAGGGACAGACCGACGTCAGGCATTAAATGAGCACGTCGACGAGCTGTTGGCAGCCGCATTCGTGAGGGAAATACAGTATACCACCTGGCTGTCCAACGTAGTAATGGTAAAAAAGCCAAGTGGGAAATGGAGGATATGTGTGGACTATACCGACCTCAATAAGGTCTGCCCAAAAGACTCATACCCCATGCCAAGCATTGACCAGTTAGTTAACAATTCGTCAGGATTTCAGCTGTTATCGTTTATGGACGCGTACTCAGGGTACAACCAAATTCCGCTACACCCCGAGGACCATGAGAAAACCGCATTCATCACCGAGAAGGGAAACTTTTGTTACAAAGTCATGCCTTTCGGTCTCAAAAATGCAGGGGCGACATATCAGCGGATGATGAACCGCGTTTTTCAAGGGCAGATCGGAAGAAACCTTGAGGTATACATCGACGACATGATAGTTAAGTCGTTGCAAATGTCTGCTCATATAAACGACCTCAGGGAAACTTTTGAGCAGCTGAGAGCTCACAGGATCAGGCTGAACCCGGCGAAATGCGCTTTTGGGGTACCAGCTGGAAAGTTCCTGGGCTTCATGCTTACCAACCGGGGAATAGAAGTGAACCCCGACAAGTGTAGGGCCGTGCTCGAAATGAAGCAGCCCGAAAGTAAAAAAGAAATTCAACAGCTCACTGGACGCCTTGCGGCTCTAACCAGATTCTTGCCCAAATCGGCGGAAAAGGCTTTGCCTTTCTTCAAGCTTCTCAAAAAGGAAGCCGAATTCGGATGGGGAGAAGAATGCAAGAACGCATTCGAAAATATTAAAAGTTGCCTGGCCACTCCTCCCGTACTGACCAAACCAGAACCTGGGGAAACGCTGATCTTATACTTATCAGTCGGGGAAGAGGCCGTCAGTGCCGCCTTGGTACGAGAAAATGACAAATCACAACAGCCGATCTACTTTGTGGGTCGGGCCTTGCAAGGGCCCGAGCTTCGTTACCAGAAGCTCGAGAAAGTCGCATTCGCACTACTTACCACGGCGAGGAGGCTCCGACCTTACTTTCAGAGTCACCGAGTTATTGTGCGTACGAATCAGCCCATCAGGCAAGTCCTCCACAAACCGGACCTCGCTGGCAGAATGATAAACTGGGCAGTCGAACTCTCAGAGTTCGACATTGCATATGAGCCCAGGCAGGCGATAAAGTCCCAAGCGCTGGCCGACTTCATCCTGGAGCTAACCCCATCCAATGAAAAGGAAAAAGGAAATGATGATTTCTGGACAATACACGTGGATGGGTCGTCCAACTCCAAAGGAAGCGGAGCCGGGGTAATCATTGAGACCCCGGAAGGAGTGTCCATCGAGCATTCACTTCACCTGGCCTTCCCGACTTCTAATAACCAGGCTGAATACGAGGCATTTATTGCCGGAATCATACAAGCAAGAGAGCATGGAGCCAGAAAAATCAAAATAATGAGTGATTCGCAGCTGATTACCTCACAAGTTGAGGGAAAATATCAAGCCAAGGGTCCTCTCATGATGAAGTATCTCCACCAGGTCAGGGAACTGCTAGCCGATTTTGACGAGGTGATAATTCAATACATACCTCGGAACGAAAACAATCGGGCCGACATCTTATCCAAACTTGCCAGCTCAAAGGGCCCAGGAAATCATCGCACCGTGATACAGCAGAGCATTTTGGAGCCGACGTGTGTGATGGTGATTACCGAGACTGAGGATTGGAGAGGACCCATAGTGGCCTACCTGGAAAAAGGAATCCAGCCAGACGAAACGCAAGAGGCCAGAAAACTCGTGAGGAATGCGGCCTGCTTCACCATAATAGAAGGGCAACTCTACAAGAAGGGTTTTTACACGCCCATGCTAAAGTGCCTAGGCAGAAGCGAGGTCGAATACGTGCCGGCCGAGATTCATGAGGGCATAAACGGGCATCACATGGGAGGAAAAGCCCTGGCCAGAAAGGCATTGAGGGCAGGATACTATTGGCCAACTATGGAGGCAGACGCGAAGGAGCACGTCAAAAAGTGCGAACAATGTCAGAAGCACGCGCTGATCCTCCGTGCTCCCCCAGAAGAGCTGCAAAGTATCACGGCTCCGTGGCCGTTCTTCAAATGGGGGATGGATCTACTAGGACCCTTCACTGCAGCGGAGGGTCAACTCAAGTGGCTGATAGTAGCTGTCGATTACTTCACCAAGTGGATCGAGGCCGAACCCCTCACCACCATTACCTCGGCAAGGATACGGAGATTCTTTCAGAGAAACCTAATAAGCCGATTTGGGCTTCCTGCCGAGATAATAACAGACAACGGAACGCAGTTTGCTGACAAAAAGTTCCAAGAGTTGATGACCGACCTCAAAATCACACACCGGTTTGCATCAGTCGAACACCCTCAAACTAATGGACAGGCCGAGTCTGCCAACAAGGTGATCATCAATGGGCTGAAGAAAAGGCTTTTTCAGGCCAAAGGCAATTGGGTTCAGCAGCTACACCTCGTCCTCTGGGGTTACAGGACGAGTGTTCAGTCTGCTACGGGAGAAACTCCCTTCAAGCTAACATATGGGTGCGAGGCCATGATCCCGGTGGAAATCGGCGAGCCATCCTGGAGGACGAACCAGAGGCTGCAAGGAACCGAAAGCCAAAACAAGGAAGCACTCCTTGTAGAACTCGACCTGCTGGACGAGTGCAGGGAGAACGCCAGATACAAAAACATGATGGCCAAGCGTTTGATAACGGCCAGGTTCAACAAAAAGGTCAGACCTCGGTCGTTTCAGGGTGGCGACTTGGTACTGCGTAGAGCCGACATAGGCAACAAGAATGCGAAAGATGGAAAGCTTGCCGCAAACTGGGAAGGCCCCTATAGGATCAAGAATGATCTAGGAAAGGGAGCCTACACCTTGGAAACTATCTCCAAAAAACCAGTAAAAAGGACTTGGAACGCGGACAAGTTGAAGATCTACTACAGCTAGGGTCTAGGCCCGACGCTCGAAGTAGAAAACGAGCTGTCAGGCTCGATTGATAGTTAGAGTTATTTCTACACCAATAAGACGAGTTATTAAGCTCAGTCGGTAGATAGATTTATTTTCAGGCAAATAAAATGAGCTCTTAAGCTCAGCCCTTGTACAAAAGATTTCATTGAAATGCAAGTAAAGCAGTTAATTAATTTCTGTCGTATATGCATATTGACTTCTGCTTAGGAAATTGAAGCCTCAGGAGCTTCCTGACCGAAAGGGAATAAAGTTTTGTTGACGAACAAAAAGTAACCCTATAATCGGCTAATGAAAAACCTCGACAAAATATAAGTCGATTGTGACGAGATCGAAATAAGCACTTCAAGCGTGAATAAAAAAGAAGCAACGATCTCGGCAAAATGAAATTTGCGACATACAATTTAAAAAGCCGGACTAAAGCGGCCACCATGTTCTGACAAAATAAAAAAAGGAGCTCAAAGGCTCCGTAATCAAAACAACACAATAAGGTCGGCATTCCAACCCCTTCATTCTTCTGCAGGAGGTGAAGTGGCGCGAAATTCGGTTCCGACCTCTCCTTCATCAGCGGACTCGGCATCTGGGGTTCCAGGGACTATAATGTTGTCCTTCACCTCGTAGGATACGTCCATGCCATCCACCACCATGCCAGGGTTCAGAATTTGAGCCTGAGCAATAGCGTTGTCGAAGGCTTGAATAGCGGCTCTTGCAACCACAACTTTGGCCTCTTCAAAATCAGCCTGCAAGTCAGCAAGGCGAGCATCCTTCTCCGCCATAGACCCCGAGAAGGACTCCTTCTCAGCACGCAAGTCATTGGCCTCGGCGGTAACCACCTCTAAGTCTTTCGAAGCCTTATCCAGGGCCAAGGACAGCTCTTGAATTCCGCCCTCCAAGGTCGACTTAGATTTGCTCAGCTCCTCTACCCTGACGGAAAGAGATGAGTTAGAAGCATTAGACAAATCGAGGCTCTGATTAAGATCCTGAAAGGTCTGGAGCAGTGAGATCGTTTTCAAAGAATCTTCTTCCATTCGCGCTAACATGGCCCTCACAGTGGTGGTCAAGCCCGAACTCCCAATGAGCCCGGAAGGAGGCTTGAGTACGGCCCTAAGGCGGTCCGAAACCCCCGTTCTCCATAATTCCCCAGGCTCGAGGCTGACCAAATTCCCTGGGAGAGCAGAGGGGGGAACTGAGAGCGGCGACGAAACAGGAGTCGAAGCATCAACCATGGTCACCCCGGCGTCGACCGAGCTGCCGCCGAGTATGGAATCTATCCGCCTCTTCTTCGGAACTCCAGACTCTAGAGCGGCCGACTCTTTTGACTTTCCCTTTCCAGTTTTCTTAGGCAAAAACTTTTTGTATTCGGTAGAGGTCATGCTGACTGCAAAGGAAAGAAGAAAAGTCAAAATGCAGATTATCAATTTGAAAGGTAAGATGAACTACAACAAAAGATAAAAAATAAAATGAGCTACATACCGAGCTCAAAAATGGCATCCTCCCCAAACTTATCTACAACCCGACTTAAGTCAAAAACTCCGAACTCGTCGGTATATTCAATAAGAACTCGGACCGCTAGACGTTCTGAGCTGGAAAGGGCAGTTAAGGGAGTGTCGTAGTCCTTTGGACGCCTTTGATAATGTCTCGGCGTCCAGTATAGTTCAAACCGAGATAAAATGCCGCCATTGTCGAGCCACTCCTCGACAAACCAGGGAAGAGACTCAGAACGGGATACCACCTTAAAATAGGCGTCCTTGAAACCCTTAAAAGATTGGGAGTAAGGAATAAAAATCCCTCTGCCAGGGCTACCTCGTAGGGTAACCCATCCCTTCTTGGCCTTGGACTCGGCGCCAGTACGGAAGGTATATACATCAAAGAAGAAGAGGAAAAGAGCAACGGTGCAGGGGAGGCACAAGTATGCACACACCTGCTCAAAACCCCGTACGAAAGCCCATGAATTTGGATGGAGTTGTGAGGGTGCAACCCTAAGACGCCGAAGAACTGACATTTGAAAGTCGGTAAAAGGAAGCCGGATACCTAGTTTGGTAACAAGATCTCGGTAAAAGTAGAAGAAATGAGGCTCATCTAATATAGGACCTAAACATACAGGAAAGTCGCCAGGCGGAAGAAGATCAACCCCGTTGGGATTTCCCACAGGGAGTTGGGCCACCTCGGAAGGAGACATTGTGGATCGCCTTTGGAGAACTTCAAGAAGGACCCAATCTTGAGCGTCCGAACCATCCATGACGATATTCCTGGAATATGAAGGACAAAGATCAATACACATGCCAACCGATTCCGACCGGGGACTACCAGCCTCAGAACGAGGCGAAGACGAACCCCAAGAGGGAGGAACAGAGCTATCCGAACTACTGACAAGATCGATAAATGAAACCCGACTTGTTGCAGAGTCCTTTAGGGAAGAAGGGGTGACTGACTTAGGAATTCCAATCTCAGATGAAGAGAGGCTGGATGAGCTAGCGCTCAAGTCAAGAGGAGGAATCCGATCCAAAACGGACCTCGTACCCGAGACCACCCTAGAGGATGGCAGTATATACGACAGCGGTACTGGTTCAGGAGAGGAGCTCAATCTGGGAGCTGAAGGACTCACTAAAGGAGGACTACTCGTACCAAGGTTAAGTCGGGATTGATGACCCCCTCTTGACCGACCCACTCCCCTCATACCTCGGCCTCCACGAGAACTATGGCGGCCTCCACGGGGACCACGGAGAAGCTGTTGACGCTTCTCCTCCTCGGTGTATTCCCTACCAAAAAACCAGTACTGAACAGAGCGAGGCAACCGACTCACCACCTCTTCCTCTTCCCTCTCCTGGCCACGTAGACTGGATTCCGGACCAGAGGGAGAACTAGGGGCACTCATTACGAACCCCCAAGAACAGGAAAGGAACCCTCAACACTTCGAAGAAGAAAAGGTATACCTCACCTTCAAGCTTAAACAAAGGTAACTACTCAATGCAACCTAACCCAACCAAAAAGAGATTCGTAAAAGCAAAGAGAATAGGAAGGTACCTGAACTTAGAAGCAAGAATGATGGGAACTAGACTCAATGCGTGAAAACCTTCACTGGAAGTGAGGAGAGCTCCAAGAGAGTTTATAAAACACGGAACCAGAACTGGAAAACGATTAACATCAAAAGCTCACTGCGAAACCAGACGAATGTAAAAGTTTTGAACCCATTCGAAAGCTGGTATTTAAAGGACGACGAATTGCTGAAGGCGCGAAGGCGAAGAGTTTTTCCAAACGGTTAAGTGATGGAGGGCAAAAAGGGGATTTCACCCTGAATGCATTAAATGCACTTCATCATAACCTGCATAAAAGTAAAGCAGAACGCCCTGCACGATGCACGAACTGCCAACGAGCGCGAAACACGTGGATCGCCTTAACCGTCACAGCAAACGTGACACGAAAGGACAGGGTAAATGATAAGGCCAAGTTTCGATTTCCGTGTTCAAACAACGCCTAGACTTCAAAGGTCAGGAAAAGTAGGGCGTAGCTGAAGGTCGCAACATGACTTAGAACGTCAACTCGATCCAGCACTAGGAAAACAAAGCTCGGGTCAATGGTAGTCAAAAGTTCACAATAAGTTCAGGAAAATATCCGACATGCTTACATCCGACTTCAAACGCAAACACCATAAAAGGTCAAGAGGCGTGGTGAATATAAGCTCGACAAAACAACTGAGTCAGAATGCTGACGTCGAAAAACTCGGAAGTCCAAACCCGAGAACAATGAACGTGGATAAACTGAATCCGTGATAACATAATGGAACCTCGACATCCCGGACCCCGAAATACCGAGCTAGGGGGCAACTGTTATGGATATGAATATCATATCCCAACTACCTACTAGAATATCTGGTGAGATATGGAATCAACAACTCCAAACAGCCAAAGGATATAAGATAAGGATCACATCCCAACAGAAGGAGGGTTGAATCCTACTACGATTGGGGGATCTCAAAAGGCACAAGCCTAGGAAGGTAATCCTATAAATAAGAGCCTAAGGACCCCAGGTAAAGACTCAGAACTCATTTATTACTTCTGCCCACACTGTGCACACACCCACCCCTTGGCTATAAGCCTATTGCTTGGGCGCAGTGATTGGGACCTCGGCTGTAAGCCTAGTATACACTTGATATACACTATCTCTGAGAGCATACCTTACGGTATAGCAATACGGTCTATCCAGGACCGAACACTAAGGATAATATCTTATCCTTGTTATAAATAATATGACACTTGGTTGTCCATAATAATATAATGGTTGGATATTTAATCTCAAATTATAATCACTGAAGAAGTAATTATGACAATTTATTATTGCACCTTGTCTTGTGAGCCTATAAATAGAGACATGTACAAAGTTTCAATATACACTATAATACAAGAAGAATATATTCCCCTAGACTCTCTTATTTCTATATTTTCTCCTAATTACTTTTGTTTCACAATACATTATCAACACGAAGCTCTGCCCCAAAAGAGAATCGTGGCACTGATTAAAAGACTTTATCACCACGTTGTTGATCGATCGAAGCTTGGTTGATCCCCATCACGTCGTTCATCGTCGATTGCCACTCTCCTTCGACCACATCTCTTTGTTGAACAAGTGGTCATAAACCCAAGAGGGGGGATGGATTGAGTTTTAAAAATATTTTCGCAAAATGCCTCACTTTCTTTCTTGAAAATGAATTTATTGAGTTAATATGATTTTGACACAAACAAAGCTTAAAGAATAGAAATTATTACAAGCAAATAATATGCAAAGTGTAACTTTAAATATACTCAAGTATTCTAACAATGCTTATGCAAAGAGATAAAGAGTTAGAGAGATTGCAAACAAGATATATCCTGGTTCGGTCACCACCACCGTGACCTATGTTCAGCTTGAAGCCGCTCGTTCAACTTTTCACTAATGATCAAGCTTTAAGGGTGCTTGACAAACCACTACAACCTTCAAGAATTTTG